CACAGGGTTTGAAAAAATATTCACGATAGCAATCCAGAAGCAAGAGAATTCTATATGACCCCAAGCACATGTACACTGTCATTCCTGCATCTCATTAGTAATGAGCATTTTTTATAAGACTCCTCCCTTATCTAAGGAATAAACATGACAACAGTCTTTTGTCTAAAATGTGTTCCGCAGAATAAGAAAACAGTTTTGATTGGAAGGCATTTCCCCAAAACACTATAAACAAGGTCTTCATGGCCAAGCATACTTTTCATGGAACAAAGGCTATGAGTTCTCCTCTTTCCTTCCACAGGACAAGGAGGAGGACTTTAAGACAGTGATTTTGGAGGGATTGGAGATGACCAAGCATCAGGTGAGGGTGGCTTTTTGGTGCTTGTGATATGGCAGCAAAAGTTGCCACATCGGGACCAAATATTGACACACAGACCCAGGTCTGAATTTCAAGTACAAAAGAGGTAAAGAGGAAGGAAGTCTGTCTTTAAGTATAGATTGTTGAAGTGAAAGGAGAAAGTGTTTGTGTGGAAACATGCTTCACTTTTTACTTCTTATTGAGGGAAATAGTTCTGATTAAGAAAAACAGAATATTAAGTCATTCTTTTTTGTCAAGAGCTCGGTAAAAATCCCTCTCTTAAAGGGACATCTGGACAAGAACATAAACCTTATTAGTTCTTTTATATTGGAAAATAGTTATGTAGAGGGTTCAATATATTACTCATTTTACTTCAGGATAATGTTGTATGCCTTTTAATTACCACTGAATTGCAGTTCAGTTTAGGGAACTAAAGATGGTACAGTGAGCCAATTAATGGTACTCCATGATGTGAAAGTCAATCCCAAGACTGTCATTAAAGCAAGTGTCACAGTTGAGAGAAAGGAAGATGATTTTCTGTACCGTATAATGAAGAGTGAAGGTTAAGTAACTGCTAACATAATAACTAAGAGACAGATGGGGGCTTTGGCCATACAGAATTACATGATCTTTTCTTGTTTACTCCCTAGTCTTCTGTTTTAACGTCAATTTATTTTCCCTTCTCAGGATTTTATTTTTGAATAAGCAAACAAATCTGTGAGCACAAAAAAGAAAATAAGCTGGATTCTGCATCTCCTTTCTCCAGTAGGAAACTAGTGATATTAAGATATTAGGTAAATGACAAAAGTGTCTTGGCAACATCTGATCTTGGAAGGCAAACTCCACTTATAACCAATATGACAGACTGTAATTATGCTTCCTAAGTTCCACTTGGTTTCTTTTCCTTTTTTTATCCAGTTTTTTGTTTTATCTCTACTCTGTTTTCATATCTGAGTCTGCTCAAGTTCAAACATCTTTAGTTTTTTTTAAATATATTTTATTGATTATGCTATTAGTTGTCCCAATTTTGCCCCTTTGTGCCCCTTTGTCCGGTACCCCCATTCCCTCCAGTAAACCTCCCCTTAGTTCATGTCCATGTGTCATGCATATAAGTTCTTTGGCTTTTCCATTTCTTACACTGTTCTTAACACCCCCCGTCTATTTTGTACCTACCAATTTGTACTTTTTAAGCCCTGCACCTTTTCCCCAATTCTCTCCCTTCCCCCTCCCAGATGATAACCCTCCAAATGATCTCTATTTCTGTGATTCTGTTCCTGTTCTGCTTGTTTGCTGTTTGTTTTTTAGATTCAGTGCCTGATAGTTGTGAATTTGTGCCATTTTAATGTTCAGTTTTGATCTTCTTTTTCTTGTACAGGGTCCGGCACAAATAATACCTCCTTTTTATTACAAAATCATAAGAATGTAATCCTGTAACATAATATTACACGCAAGCACACCATATGACATTTTAGGTGAAATGTTCACATCAAAACTATAAATTACTACCCTCATATTATTACCTTACTAACCACATTCAAACAGGCATTACTTCTGCCGGACCCTATATAGTTCCTTATTATATTTCATATAATAAGGGCCTGGCAATAAACTCCTTTAGTTTTCCCTTTTCTGGGAAGCCCTTTATCTGCCCTTTAATTCTAAATGATAGATTTGCTGGATAGAATGATCTAGATTGTAGGTTCTTGCTTTTCATCACTTTGAATAGTTCTTGCCAGCCCTTCTAGCCTGCAAAGTTTCTTTTGAGAAATTACCTGACAGTCTTATGGGAACTCCTTTGTAGGTAACTCTCTGCTTTTCTCTCGTTACTTTTAGGATTCTCTTTAAGTTTGGCATTTTAATTATGATGTGTCTTAGTGTGATCCTCTTTGGATCCAGCCTGTTTGGGACTCTGTGCTTCCTGGATTTATATGTCTGTTTTCTCCACCAAATTAGGGAAGACTGCTTTCATTATTTTTTCAACTAATTTTCCAATTTCTTTCTATTCCTCTTCTCCTTCTGGCACCCCTGTGATTCAGATGTTGGTATGTTTAGAGATGTCCCAGCAGCAACTTATTCTATACTCATGTTTTTTATTCTTTTTTTCCTCTTTCTGTTCTGATTGAATGCTTTTTATCTTATGTTCCAAATCGTTGATTCTCAACTTTATCCTCTCCACTGTTGGTTCCCTATAGATGTTTCTTTATTTCATTTAATGCAACCTTCATTTCTGCTGGGGTCTTTTTTATGCTGTTGCAGTACCCAATGATTTCTTTGAGCATCCCAATAACTAGTGTTTTGAACCCTGCATCTGATAGGTTGCTTATCTCCATTTCATTTAGTACTTTTGGGGGGATTTTGTTCTGTTCTTTCATTTGGTCCATATTTCTTTGTCTCCTCCATTTGGTAGCCTGTGTTTGTTTCTGTGCATGAGGTAGAGCTATTTGACTCCATCTCGGTAGCTTGGTCTATTGTAGAAAAGGCACCCATCTGGATGAATGTGGCTTCTTCCAATCGTTGGTTGTCAGACTTCCATACAGCTTGATTTTCTGACAAATCTGGGTGATACTTGTTTTGTAGTCTAGTTGTAATTTTTACTGTAGTTCTGTGAGGAGATGAAGTGTATTGATTACCTATGCCTCCATCTTGACCAGAAGTCATCTTTGGTTCCTATCAATTTTTCTAGATAGACTGATGTCTAACAACTGTGTTTATTTAGTTGGCTTCTCAAACTAGCTTCTTAGTATTAACCATCTTATGTTCATTTAGTTGACAGGATTTTCACATACATTCTCATTTGACTTTACTGCTGCAAGGTAGATTTCCCTATTTTATAAGTGAGGAACCTTTCTGTATCTTGCCCAAGGATACTCCATAGTAAATAAAAGGCAGAGCCAGGACACTAACCCAGTTACTCCATTTCAGCTGTCCTCCCCACGTTGTGTAGCACAACACAGAAACAGATAGCATCTCCTTTCCTGTCTCTTTGCTGACAGTATTCACTCTGGGCCCTCCTACCAACTTGTGGCAAGTTTAAGCCATTTGGTTAAACAGAATGAATTGATTTACTAATGATGAAATGTGTAACCCTTTGTCTCTTCAAGGCTTCTTCTGTAGTCATTTTTGTGACCCATTCCTTGGTTACATTAGTGGGAGACCAGAAATCTGGGAGCTTTTTGAGTATATACAAAGCACAAAATAAGCTTATAATATTTGACTCTCCTTACCCCAAACCAATTATGCTAGGCGTTAGACCCCTCCATACTCAATAACTGGTACCAGAAGGCCTCAGAAGCACGAATTGTCTAGAATGAAGATGCAGTGTCATCATTTGTATTTAACTGATTGCTGATGTATATATACCCTTTGAAGTGTTCTCATGTACTATATCAGAGGTGGCAAACAAAAGGCCTGCAGGCCAAGTCCAGCCCATCACATTGCTTTTTTCTACGTGGCAGCAGTGCCTAACTCTCGCTTAACTGTTACGGAGCAGTTACGTTATTCAGTCCTAAAATTACATTCGGCCCTTGGAAGGCATCATGAGGCTGATGTGGCCCCTGGTGAAAATGAGTTCGACACCCCTTACTACATCATCTGTTAATAACAATTCCCATTTTGTTTTCTGCAGAAAAATCCAGAGGAAGACAACTCAGGGAGAACGTTGGGTTGGGAGCCAGGGCACTTGCTGCTCACCATCTGCACTGTGCGCAGTATTGAGCAGCTCCTGCCGTTCTTCAACGTGCTCAGCCAAGTCTTCAACAGCAAGGTTACCAGCCGATGTGCAGGACACTCAGGGAGCCCCATCCTCTACTCAAACACCTTCCCTAACAAGGACATGAAACTGGAAAATCACAAACCATTTTCCAGCAAAGCCAGGCAAAAAATAGAAGAGATGGTGGAAAAAGATTTTCTGGAAGGGGTGATAAAAACTTGAGTACCACAAGTGGTTCCATTTAGTTTAAATGTAAATGTAATCGTTTACAACAAGCATTACTCTGAGTTGTATAGTTTTTTTTTTGTATGCAACAAAACATATTTCAGATTGTATTTAATTTAAATATTTGTAAATAAGAGCAAATGTCTGAGTGTGGCCTGAATCACTTAAATATTGTTGGCTCATATTGATTATGGTGCCTAAGAGAGATCTATATATACATATATAGTCCATTGTTTTATTGTCCTCAGTTGTCCTAAACCTGCAAAATACACACTGCACATTTTTTTCTATTGGTTTCAAGCTTTGCTTAATTTAGTTTGGTTGGGGAGTTTCTTGTTATTAACCACATTTTAGTGTCAGAATGGTGTCACTTCTCTGTCAGAGGATTGGTAATGTATCACAATCAGTTTCTGCACACATACCTTCAACTAAGAGGAGTAAAGAATAACTGAAGCCTGGGACCTGCATCCTTGTAAGTGTAGCAGGAGCATCTCCACCTCAGGACAGAGATGCGCAGCCTCCAGAGTCACACCTGAGTTCCTGGGGATGGTAATTTCAGAGGTAGATCACTTAAGAATCATTCTGAAGACACTGCTGTGGAAAAATGGGTTATATAAAGTCTTTTCCACTCTCTCCACCTGTATCAACAATGGTGAAGACTGCAAAGTGACATCCTGGTTAGGTAATGGCAATAGAAAAGACATCCCAAGGTGTTGGTAATAAATAAGATTTAATTTTCTGGCAGCTCTCACAAATTTTTCCCAGCATATATTATAATCATACATGTAAGTGCCAATATTTTATATTAGTGAGACTGAAACTAGAGGTAAGTCTCATTTTTTAAAAAGATGAATTTAACAAGCGTAAGGCTACCCATTTCTAAAGAATTATTCTGGTAGTGTTTAAGAAAAATAATCAGATCTAGAAATAATCCAGTAAGGTGCAGTAAACATTATGATTATAAATGTGTTTGAACCTGTCACAATGGCAGTACTACTGTTATGTAAAAACTTCTTAAAAATCTAGTTTCTCAAGATATAAAAATTGTCTTCAGAAACGTGGTGGGGGACGTTCTCCAACTCCTCCAGCCAGCTGAAATACTGCCAAGCTCACTTCATGGGCAAGGCTATCCGCACTTTCCTGAAAATTACATGAAAATTGATTAGATGGGAGGGACAGCATCTACCATGTTACTTGCACCTTTGAGGGAAGGGGAGGGAGCCTCCTGATTGTTTCACTATCATATTAAGATGAAAACATTTCTTTTTCCATCTTTCAGTAGCAAATTCCAAGACCCTTAAATAAATGGAAAACAAGCTAAAGTCTTCCAAATAAGGTAAGTTCTTAATCAAATAATAAAATTAATTATTTCAAAACTGAATAAATGTAATGAAACCTAGTCCTTGAAGGCAACAAGGCCACAATTACATAAGAGGCCCTGGATGTCCTTTCCTCGCCCACCATATAGTGAATAAATACAGGGTCCAGCAGAAGTAAGGCTTGCTTGAGTGTGGTTGGTAGGGTATGTGAATATCTCTCACGAAAGAGACAGCAATTTGAACATTTCACCTAAAATGTCATATGGTGAGCCTGAGTATGGTATTATGTTACAGAATCACATGCTTACGATTCTGTAATAAAAAAGGGGTGTTATTTGTGCCAGACCCTGTATATTTACTATATTCTGGGATGGCCTAAGGCTTCTGCAGAAAAACTGCCAGCTACTGTATAAATTAATTGAAAATGTCTCCTTCTGCGTCCCTATCCAATGTACTTTATTTTCCCTCTGCTGTGCAAACATTTTTATCAAGGATTTATGGTGATGGAAAAGACTGTATTGAGAGGGCAAATTGTAAATCTCCAGACCACAAAGTCTTGCCCTATCACAAAAATAGCAGTAGCACAGGGCAAGACTGGCATTTAATGGAAATATTTTGAAAAGCAAACTGAAAGTCCAGAGACAAAGATGAATTTCAGGCAGCATGGATTATGATACCATTTTATTTAGAAATGAACCCCTAACTTGGTTGTTTTTATAAAGCAAATGGGTTATGTTTTTATAGTAGAAAAACTGGATAACTATTCCAGTCTACATAAGTTGAATGAGTCAGACTAAGTACCTACTAATTACTCATTCCACAATTAGAATTATGACACTTTCAGGAAGTGTAGAGTAAATCAAAAGAAAAATATTTAGGGAAATAAACTGAGTGGTATAATTTTGTTCAACTGTGTAACAACTGACAAAAATAATTTTGCAGTCTTAAAATGAACCCAAAAGGTTCTATAAACAAGTATGAAAGACATTAAATCCTTATTTATCATGTGAGATTTCAGCAGTATTAAAATAGTTTTCATCTCTACCACCACCCCCCAATACCTATGTTATCATTAGACTCTCACTGCACATATTTCCAGAACTGTACCAGCTTACTTGTGAGTCTGCTTCTGCGTACACTCGGACTACGTCTTCAGTACCAGAGGGCCGGACGAAAGCGCGGGAAAGCTTGTACTTCTTCACCAGGTTGTTGATTGCCTCCTGTAGTCCTGGGGGCGTGACTGCTTGCCTTTCAGCATCAGTGGTGCTAATAACTTGCCTGTCTGCAACCTATGCCAAAGCATTTCATATTTTTTATTATATTTCACTCCCTTTTAGAAGCTTAAGCTGTTCACCGTAATTCCCGCCAAAGGATTATGGCCATTTCATTTTAACAGTGGAGCTACATTTCAGTTTATTGTTATCACAAATACAACACAAAGTTCCAGATCAAGTGTACCGTGAAACTGCATTAAAGTTTTAAAATTCTATTATTTATTATCACTTCTTAATGTTATTAAGTTCAACATATTTATATAGTTTGTTTCTTCAGTGTTTCCTCAGTCTATAAAGAATTACCTTTAGCAAAAAGAAATAACATTTCCACAGACTTACACTTACCCCTAAAGTAATGGCCAATAAATGCTGTATGACTTAAGTCATTAATCAAATAACCTTGGGTTGCCACTTACCCTTCTTAAAAAAATTACCTATTATGATGAGAATTTCCTAAATATGCCAAAAACTAATCTGAACAATCAGCAGCCATTTCTGTGAACTCTGGATTTTGTATCTCTTACAAATCTGTTGATGAATGTGTAAGCTGGTATAAACCTATACAGAAATCAATTAGCCATTTATCTAAAATGCCTTTAAAAAACTTTCTCACTTTGAACCCATAGGTTTCTACTCAGCATCTAGCCTCAGGAAGTACTCTGTGAACCAAGAATAAAAAAGGAAATATTTTCACTCAAAAATATAGGCTAGCCAGGATTTGCTTCAAAATAATATAGGGATGTGGAGAATGTTTAGGACAATAAAAATCTGTTGAATCTGGGTATATAGGGGCTCATTATTTTGTTCTATTTGTATGTTTTAAATTTTTCATAAAAAAAATTTTAAAGTGACATGTGACATTATAAGTTTGGAAACCAAAACTTCTCAAACAATAGAATGGTTAAGAGCTCCTCTGTAATTTTTAAAGATATGAGAAAATATAATTAGATAATATTAATATAAGGCATTAATTTCTATGTAATATGTACATATGGGATGAAATGACACACTTGGGAAATATTTTTATGAAGTGAGATTTGAAATAACAGCTTTTAACCTTTAGAAAAGTAATTTTAAGATCATGGTCCCACCTTCACTTTGAGCTGCCTGTTGGGAAGATCCGTGTAGAGAGCGTCCCACTGCTGCACGGTCAAGCCCTTTAGAGCCAAGATGGCCTCGATCACCAGCATGTCAGAAATAGCATCTCCAGCTGCCTGCAGGACGGGGAGAGACAGTGGGAGAGACTGCTCTGATACAAGGAAAGCCAAGATGTGAGTGTGTCTTAGAAAACCAGTCTTAGTCTCCTGTGCATCCTCCCCCCTCCATGCAGCATTACTAGCTGGTGTGGATAAATATAAATGTGAACATTAGTGAGACCTGTACTGAAACTAGCTCTGGAGAAACTTGCCTTTAATCTTCTCCTTAGCTACAAAATGAAATAAGACTGGATAACTCTTAAGGTTCCAGCATTAACATTCTTTATACAATTAGTACACCATGATAGATGACATCATGCAACAGAGTGAAGGAATATGAGCTTTCACGTAAGACACCTTAAGTTGAAGCCATATTCTGCCACTTAGTAGCTAGCAGCCTTTTTTCCTTCATTTATGAAGTGACAAGTGTAATAACCCTTCTCCCTGTGTTAATGCAAGGATTACATGACAAGGTACATAAAGTGCCCAAAATGTACAACATGCTCAGTGTTACTTCCACCACTTTGCCACGTCCCGTGCTTTAGCTTGCTCTTCCATTGCCCTCAGCTACATTCGAGTCCCAACCATCTGTCCCATGTGAGACAACCAATTATTTTTCCTGAATTTCCTTGAGAAAATAGGTTTTAAAAAAACATGTTTAGTCAAATATATACACTCAGTAGCTGAATCTAGTGTCTCTAGGTGGAAGCTAACTCATTATACCAGAAAATTTTCATCAAAAAATGTAGGGTGAATGGAGCATACAGACGTTCTGCCATTTTGACATGTCAGTGGAAATCCCAAACATACCGCTGTTGTGAGGAAGCACCACCACTAATTTGTCCACCTTCTGAACAGGTAACCAAGAGCCCACCACCCCATCAGTTCTACCTGGTTAAATAAATCAATGATGTTTTCAAGCATCTTAGCAGCATTCTTTTTCTCATCTTTTGATTCTTTTGCTAGTTGTTTTATCTTCGTTTCAGCAGCTTTACTAAACAGTACCTGCAATGAAAGGGTACAAAAACCACAAAGCTCTACCACAGACTCAGTCTTAAGTACTATCATACTAGCTAAACCACTTTTGAAACTCTCAAAGAAGCAGAAGAAATTAAGGGGGAAAATAATGGCAGCCTTATAAGGTACAAAATTAATATAAGATCAAAGCAGAGCCCAAAAGATATTACTGGCAAAAAAGTTCCTTTATGGATTATAAAACTTGTTATCAAAATTCAAAGAGCTCCCCTTGCTGGTGTGGCTCAGTTGGTTGGAGCATCATCCCATAACCAAAGGGTTGTGGGTTCAATTCCCAGTCAGGGCATATACAGAAGACAACCAATCAATGCTTCTCTTTTGCACTGTTGTTTCTCTCTCTTCCTCTCTTTCTTTCTCTCTCTAAAAGCAATGAAAAAATATCCTTGGGTGAGAAAAAAAAATTTTTTTTGAGGAGCTGTTTACAAAGAAAATATCACCTCGGCAAAGATGCTCACATACATGGGCTCATTATGGCTGTCCCTCAGCCAGGTAAACCAGCTCTGTGCAGCCAGGTGCCATAAGCCTACCTCTATCCATTTTACCTTGAAGAACATAATTCATTGCAGCTGGTATATTTTTGTGTCCTAAAGTTGAGGACAACAGCTAAGCAAAAGTAGAAAGAGTGCTCATATTTATCATATTATAGCAAACGATGCCATGAATATTTATTATACGTCATGCTCCTCAGGATTTCCATCATCTTGAAATACCTTGCCCATGATGTATGTAGTGCCCTCAGACGCCCAGTGCTGAGGAGGAGCAGCACACCATGTTCAGCCACTTGCTGAAATACTTGCTTGTTGGTAAACTAAGGGGCAGGCTGGTCACTTGACGGAAACACAGACATACCCATTCATTTACCCTACGCCAGCAGAGCTGACCAGTTGCAACAGAGACATAGTCTCGAAGCCTAAAATATTTACCATCTGCCCTTCATGTTTGTTTACCGACCCCTGCATTAGATCACCGAAGTTTATTTTACTTGTATTTTCGAGGAAGGTATTTTTCTTCTACTTATATTCATTGCCTCTAGAAGCCAATTTTAAAATTAACGAGGGAACTTATTTGACCTAGATAACTATTCGTGTTGGTCACCTCAAATCCATGTATGAAATAAGGTGATGTATAAAACATTTAAAGTATGAATCTTTTGAATATACTAGCAACCACTTAATTACTTCAATTAAATTACTTAATTTCTTAATTTACTTTAATTACTCCTAATTACTTTAAACTCATTTCCAGTTGTTTATAACTTAATTCTCCAACTATCCAACACTTTTCAATTTACCTCAGTCACTGTACTTTCCCTTTTACCACCTATAGCCAATTGACAAATATTTTAAATGATCTATATACAATCTGCTCATAAAAAATTAAGAAGTACATTTTTACAAGAAACTATAAGAACAAATTAGCATTATTTCTTCACACTCAAAAAATATCACTGCAATCTAAAAGAGACCCAGTTTCACCGCACATGAAAACATATTAAGTTAACCAAAAAATCAAATTCTACCACTATCCCAATACTCAACAAAGTAGAGTATTACCTATCATTACCCAGATACAGAATTCCCACACAAAAAAGTGCCAGCTAAAGCTGTAACTATTTAAGAGAACTTACTGTGCCATGCCCATTTGCTTCAAAATAAACCCCAACATCAAATTCTTGAGCCTTGTGGTGCAAATGTTTTACACCAGTTTTAGTACAATAGACTGGTACCTATGAGACATTTTTAAAAACATGACAATTATTCAATCAGCAAATTCATTGTGTACCAACCATCTAGGAATATTCATAGGGAACAAAACCTGGAGCTTAATCTAGTGAGGAAGGCAAAGCAATGAAAACCCGAGTGGATACCAGGGAAAAAAGAAGGCACTTAGATGCACAAAGACGAGGGAAAAGGAAGGTGAGAGAGACGACCATCTCCTTATAAGTTCGCGCAAGACTGCAAGTGGAGGAGTGGCACGATCTGCTCCAGGAAGCTCAGCTTAGCTCCAGTGTGGAGAGGGGCTTAGGGTAGGGGCCTGCAAGCTTTTACTGTCAAGGGCTGGACACGTGTTAGGCCTTGCAGACCACATGGTCTCTATTACAATTGCTCAATTCTGTCACTGTAGTGAGAAAGCAGCCACAGACAACACAAAATCAGATGAGCATGGCTGCATTCCCATGAAACTCAAACAGGCAGCAGGTTGGATTTGGCCCACAGGCCGCTGCTCGTTAACTCGCCTGCTTAGATGGTCTACTAGGAGTTTTCTAGGACTAATCCCAGTAAGAAGTTATGGTGGCTGGATTAGCAACAGTGGATAGAGAAAGTCTTTAACAGATCTGATAAAAATGGTTAAGAAAATCTGATAGTACAAAACCGCAAAAAAAGATCCAGATGAAATAAGATCGACATTTGACTGGATTTAGGAAACCTAAGAAACTGCTAGGACTAAAAGTACTTAATCCATTAGAAAATGATTATAAAGTAACCATTCTGACATACTCAGTTTCTTAAACAAGGTATCTTACCTGTAAGAAAATTTTAAGACACAAAGGTATAACTAAAATATGAAAACAACCCTAAGTTCTGAAAAATACCCATGAAAGGCAGGCAACTGGGCCCCATATGGGAGTCCCTTGAGTAACATTACTGTAACCACATACAGGGTGGGGCAAAAGGAGGTTTACAGTCTTTCATATGGAAAATAATATAAATAAATAATACAATAAACTCATTTCACGTACTCACAACTATAAGCCTGCTTTTGCCCAACCCTTAAATCAGGTCACAAACTCCAGCCTCCAGATACATTTTAGTGTGCCTAGCCACTATTTCTTTTCAATTTTAAATCAGCTGCCAAGACTTAACAAATAGGAAATTCACATGGAAAGTCATGTGTTTAGTTCCCCTCGAAGAATCTGACTTAAGGTGAGAGCAGCTGGCTTGGGCACACTCCTCGCAGTCCCTGTCTACCTGTTGTCCTCCTTCACCTCACCTACCCAGATCATATAGGAAGCTGGCTTTGACATTCATTCCTGCTTTAAAATGAATGGAAAGGCAAAAATAACTAACAAAATGCAGGAACTTAACCAGGCATACACAATAGTTGGAAAATATTACAGTAGCTAGTGAGAAACAGAGTAAAGGTGAATGGACCCAGTTTGGGTCCTGACCGCTCTAACACTTTGTTAGAGCAGTGTGGCACAGAGGGCGGTCATCTGGCGGACACCGGGGAAATAATCAGAACCCAAATCTGCCAACCCAGAAAGCTTCTCCACAAAAGGAGAGTGAGAAACCAGTTTTATTACTGAATAAGCATTAAGTCAGACTTGTGATACATGTCACAGGCAATCTGCTAAGAGACTGCTAAACAGAAGGTCTGTTTTTGCATCAGGGACAATTCAATCTTTTGACTTCTATTTACCTTACATGGACAAAAGCTCAGCTTTATGCACAGCTTATTTACTTTTATGAGGGTATTAGTTTCCTCACAGAAATATCTTACAGTAGAATTTAGAAAATGGAAATGGTTTAGTACCTTCATAACTTCTTCAAGAAACCGTGTTGAACTTCCGTTTGCATATGCAGTTTGTACAACACCAATATTCAAATTTTCTCCAATCTAGACAAAAACAATAATGATCTTATATCAAATGTAAAGGCACTACAAAAAAATTTAAAAATTAAAAAAAATAAAAGCAAACAACAGAAATACTGACAAAAAAAAAGACATTACAAAAGCAAAGTTCTAAAAAATGACAAAGTTATCCACGACTTCAGCAGTGCTTTGGTTTATGCAATAAATGACTCAATGAAAATTTATGCAATAAGTGACTCAAAGAAAAGAGTAACTTCAGATTCCTAAACCAGTTCCCCAAAGTTGAAATAACTGTAATGACACCATTTCTTTCTGTATCTTCCAGCCACAAATATAGGAATTTCCCAAAAATTGTGCCTTTAAGACATTCAACTGACTGCTACAGAACTACCTCACCGTAAGTCCTGTTTTAAAGAGCAGTCAGCCGCCCCCCACCATACCTCCAACAGGAGCTCTTTGAGGAAACTGCTAATGAGTGCTGCTATCTTGTCTCCGTCTATGAGGTGAAAGTGACCGTCTGCATCGTAGTAGTAGTAAACAATTCTGTCTGCATCTCCATCAAAGGAACAGCATCTTTCATTGGACTTCATTTCCATTCCTAGCACACAGATTAAAAGTGCATTTCAGTCTAAAAAATGGGAATACAACTCAATATAAAGTTTGAGTTTTTTGCCTTATACTAGTTACAAGGGACAATTTTGTTTTCACTGAAGTATGATCACTGCCCTTACGTGTTACGTGTAAGCATGTCCACTATGATTATTCAACAAGTATTTAAAATTATCCTTCCATATACAAACCAGAGTCTTAATATTCAAATAGTATGTGGGCTTATTGGTAGTTTTTACAAGGTAAATTCTTTCACAGCTAACTGAAAAAAAAAAAAAAGCATTCAAAATCTATGCTGAAATTTGACATAATGCTAAAATAAAATTCTATTTGATACCAGCTAGTTTGGCAAGGCATGTTCCCATATAGTTTTTTGAAAGCTACAGGTATTTCTGAATGCAATTTATCTAGTCCTATGACATTCTTTATATATACAAAATAATCAGCAATAGATGAGGTATGTGCTTTGATTTAATTCAGATAGGAGTGATTTTTATTTGTTCACACCATAAATAATGAGAAACACTGGAAAGTAAAAACACAGAATTATAACCAATGAGAGACTTTGCCAGGAATATTACTAAGGCTGGCTACAGGGTACAACATAAGCCTCCTGAAAGTCAGGGCTCACAGTAGCCCCAGTGCCTATGGCAAGAGAAAAAAAGCTCATGATTTAGAGAATGGAGAGAGCAGGGCCAGAGAACTGAACGGTCAATGAAGTAACAGTCAAACCTAGCAATTCAAGGAAAAGGAGCTTACACTGGTTAATCAAACTTAAAGTTTAAATGCTTACTACAGCGAAGCAGAAAATACCATCAGTGAGAGAGGCACCGCGAGATCTGTGGAAGGCTGAAGGGCACAGGTCCTGCCTGAGGGGCTACGGCTGCTCCACTGCAGCCGGTTAATGTGAGAATGGACATCGTCTAATTTTGGCAAAGAGAAGCCAGATTCCAATATTTAAGTAAAATCAAAGCATTTTAAATGGTGGTAACTAAGGCAGTTCAACAGACACATAGAACAGACCAAAGAAAACACATCTGCAAGACAGGCTAACAACTTTGGATCTATAATGTAACTAAATATAGAACACCTCTTACCACAACCACACTCAGTAGGCAGACAGACTGCTCTTCGAACATGCTAACTGTGGAAAATGCTGATTTGGGGAACAATTACAATTCAGCAGTTGGAGTCTCTTTCTATAGTGTATTTAATTCTAAAATGAAAAATAGTGCTACTTAACTACTGCTATCCTCTAGGTCAGTGACTCTCAAAGTGTGGTCCGCAGACCAGCACTACTGAAAGAGCCCGGCGTGTGAGAGACGCAAATTCCGATGCTATACAAACCCCACCCAGACCCCCAAAATCAGAAACCCTGAGGCAGAGCCCAGGAAACTATGTCAGCAAGTTCTCCAGAATACCAAACTCCGACTGTGCTTTCCCCACCAGACTTCGCACATGTGGTAAGGAGCCCTGTGGCGTACAGGCAGGGAGAGTTCCGTGGGAATAGCAGTGACAGGTGCAAACGTGCCCAGATGTCTAAATGTGGCACATCAAAGACCAGCAACACCACTCTTCACTCATTCGGCCACTCCTGCTTGTTAATAAGGTTGGTTTCAAAGCTCCAGAAACAAATTTTTTTACATACCTTGTGGAGGCTTCTGATGACTTTTCACAAAGTCAGCCCCACATAAATGATTGAGTCTTCCTTCGGTCCCGACATTGAACAGCTGAAGCGAGAGCCCCTGGGAGAGGTAGCGCTCCATTTCCCCCAGCTTCAGGGCCCCTATGCCGTTTGCACAGTCAACCTTGAGGGACCGAAACCCATCTCCACTGCGGGAAGCCTTAGAAAGAAAGACACAAGGAAGAAAAATGTCAAGTTCTAAAGGCAACACTGAAGCATACATGTATGCTTGTACATGTTTATGTAAAAACTCTCTGTTATTTCAGTTAGCTCATCTAGTTCCAACCAAGACACAATGGAGTACACACATTCAGGTGAAAATCATAACCATCACGGTGAAATTTTTAAATACATTTTTGAACACTCTGACACTGGAATAGTTTCATGACTGAACGATTAATGGAAATGGAGCTTGTTAAACAAAAAATTAACTTTCATGCTGAAAGCCATCACTAGATAAAAAAGGACAATGTGCCTTGGGGCCCTGAGTCTGAAACCCCAGCAGCAGAGCTAGACACAGAAGGCAAATGACGACCTTCATCCTGCACTCTTGCAAGTGTTTTTATACATCACATACAGGGGAGAAAGATGTAAACTGTTCTGAAAGGGTTTACATTAGCTATGGACAAAGGGACCAGGAGAAGGTGAAGCAGGGCAGCTCTGGGATAGACGCAGAGTCCAAACAAGAAGTGTTCGCGCCCTTGGGCAGGTTGAGAGCAGATCTGGAAGTTCATAAAGAAGCAGAGGCCTCCTGGGGCTGGAAGACACCTGGCTATTCTCTCTTTAGAATAATCACAAACATAACACCTGGAACTTAAACTGAAGTTCCAACAGACACACTTGAATGTGAGCAGTCTTTTGTTAGCTGGTCCACAGCTATTAACAAGCTAACTGTTGTGTCTTTTGCTTTCTGGACACTGTAATTTAGAACATCTCAGAATTTCTTTTTTTTTTGGTCAAGCTTGATAAGCATTAGCCTCAATTAAGTGAGGTCCCTCAAAAATAATGTTATAGATAGAATGAGCAGTAACCACATCTGTCATTCTCTTCACAGCATATAATACCACTGGGCATTTTGTATGTTTTTTCTAATTGTCTGTCTCCCTTCCTTACCATCCTCACTTCAGAATATAAATACCATGAGAGCAAGGGCTTTGCTTTGGATTACCGTGCCTGACAAAAACATACACTCAATATCTGTTGATCAAGTGAATTATATTCCTCAAATCTCATCCAGGTTTAGCAAGCCAATATCCTCAACAAGGAAAATCTTCACAACAGTAGATACCTCAAGTGTGATGCCAATAACACAGACTTGCTTGAGAGTAAATTCATCTGAATGAATACTTATTACCACAAGAACACCACCAAGTTTGTTCCCCCAGAGCTCTCAGGCTGTGTCACATGCCTTGCCAAATAAATGCCCACACAGTTTGGATACAAGGGCCAGACCTGGGTCGCCCTGGAAAGAAAAAGATATGCCGAATTTTTGGAAAAAGGAAGAGGAGTGAAAACCTATGCAATTACAATAATAAATTGTTCCATTGCTGTTATTTCATTTACTTGAATCAACTCCAAGCACGTTCAAATTTTCACCTGTTTGGTAAGTTCCACAAAGGCCGCAGAGAGTTTCTGGTAGTAACCGTCTACGGTTGCCTTCCCATACTGGCCACTGGTATTCCGACAGTACACCATGTAGTGCAGCTGGGGCGTCGTTAGAAGGCCGTAATCTACCATAGAAATACAAAAAAACAATTTACCATGTTTCTTAACAAAGAGAAAAAAGGTTTAAATGGATTCGTAACATAGGAATTTCAGGGTGTCAAAAGACATCTCAGAAAACACAAAATGCTAACTTTCAAAAAGCACAAACATCCACTGAAGTCATTATGAATGCACATCACACAGTGGTCTTGTAATTTACAGTAAGAAATACATATTTAGCCTTTGTCCCCACTGCAGACAGAGCTTCTAAACCCTTGGAATTTCTTAAGCAAAGAGAGCAATAAATTGTCTTTTGTTACTTTAAAAAGGTGACCTTTGGAAAGCCCCCAGGTAACCTAAGGGCTGCTTGCCTGGGGAACCAATCACAAGATTAGAGGGTTGGTATTTTCAGCCCTGCCCCTCCCCCGGCCAATTTCAGGGAGGGAGGCTGGAGGGGCTAGCGATTAAGTTCAATCACCAACAGCCAGTGACTTAATCATTCATGCCTAGGTAATGGAGCTTTCAGAAAAAAATCCAAAAGCCCAAAAGCTCAGGGTTCTGGGTTGATAAACACATGGAGACTGGGAAGTGGCCTGGAACTCTGAGCCTCTTTCCACACCTCTGGCCTCACGCATCTTTTCATCTAGCCATTCCTGAGTTAAATCCTTTATCATAAACTGGTAACCTAGGAAGTAAAATGCTTCTTGGTGTTAATGAGCATTAACACCAAGCTGCTTTAGCAAATTAACCAAACCCAAGGAAGGGACTGTGAGAACCTCCATACTGGTCAGAAGCCCAAGAGACTGGGAAGTGAAGCAGGTGAGGGGATGGCATTCCTACGGGACTGAGACAGGATCAGGCACCACCCCCAGGTAGCCAGTGTCAGAACTAACTGTTCGGTGGCATTAGAAAAAATACACATTAGACATAAGCTAAATTCTAAAAATATATGAACTATTATTGGTAGCAAAAAAAAAAATCATTCAGTACAGAGAATAATAAAAACAGCAATATAGAAAAGTAGTAGTTGAGTTCTATTTCCAGTAACATTGCAAACTACATAATTATGATAGACACTCCTACAAACAACCAAAAGGCTAGATAAAAACTCTTTTTCCAGAAAAGAACTACAATGCCAACATGTTGCAGGGGAAGTAGGCCAAAATCAATGTAAGCAGAGGAACTCCAAGATTGGAGCCAAGGAAACGAGTTTTATTCTCTGAGCACTCCTCAAAACTTGAAATTGAGCTATGGTTTTCAGTGCAAAAAAGTCCATGTTGTTCTAACATGAGGAACCCAATAGAAGACCAGGCCCTCATGAAGCTGAGGCCCCGAAGGACTATTCTTCAGCGTAAGAGTGAGTCAAAAAAGTGAGTCAAAAGTCCCCTCCCAGGAGAGCCGTCTGGGAATGCAGTACAGCGGAGGAGAAAACCCATGACTGAGGAGCAATGAGCGTAACCACAAGCACAGACCTCCCGTGCATTTCCAGCCCAAATCCCCATAACTGCACAGGTCTGAAAGAACTTCGTCATCAGAGAACCATGTCATCAACCAGCCAGGTAGTACTCCCTGCACAAGCAAACACTAAACTCTGCCAGAGAAAGTTACCTTCATCATAAACCTCAAAAATGTCCCACAAATAATTTTTCAAAAAAATTACCAAAAAAAAAAAAGCCAAACAGCTTTCAATCAAAAATCTATATACACATACACACACACAAAAAGGTACCATGAGCAAAGAACAGGAGAAATGGACCAGCATCCAATAAACATTCAATGACTAAATCTGTCAACAGTCTTCAAAGTCATGCACCAGAGTCTACACTGGAGGCAATAAGTCATTTTATTCAATAAGATCTTGAGCCCTGCAGTTACAAAATAAGTGGTATTTTATGAAGCCAACTTTGGCTTTGGTAGAAAAATCAGATGAGAGAAACTCAAAAAAGTACGTAAGAGCTTAGACCAACTCAATGGAACTGTGTAAGGAGGGAAAACACCATTCCAAAACACATATTAAAGGACAAAACAAATTTTGTGACCGATATCAGAATTACTAAATAAACATTTACTAAATGATTATACCCAGTTACTCAATAAAAAGCACAACCATCTATTCCATTGATAAACCCAGAAACACAGAAGCCATTCTTCACAGCTCTATCCTCATCACATCACAAAAACCTTTGAATTGATTTCAGATTTTCCCATTTCTCTTGCTATCATCATCTTTGCACAGTCTAGCTGGTCTCTTTTTCTTTCTCACAACCTTCCTATCCCTCTCTAGACAAGTGCCAGAATGACTGTCTTAAAATGAAAACATAACCATACTCTCATGCACAAAATTCTTCAAAGGAATCCCGCTGCATTTGGAATAAGACCCAGATCTTTACCAGGACCTGTAAGGGTTGGGATGGCTTGGCCTCTGCTTACCTCCCTCATCGTATCTTCCACTAGCTTCCCCCATTCTCCCTGTGCTACAGCTCCATTAATGTTCTTTCATTTCCTGAAATGAATACCCTTAAGGTGAAGAGAGAAATGAAGTAGTTTAAAAAAGTAAACTCCAAAATTTTTAAACTAGAACAGTAAAAATGTAATGGTTCTAGAGACAGAATCAAAGTGCTGAAAATATCAACCATTCTAGGGATGGCAGAAGGAAGAGTTTTGGGCAGAGTGAATACAGAGCAAGGGCGGGCCACAGAGTGGAGGTGCCATTCAAACCAACGCATTACAAACTGCAGGCGGAGCTCTTTAGCGGGTCATGGAATCCACTAAAACATACCAGCAATTCTGCATTTTCTAATGAAATAGATGAATGCATATTGTGTATTATGGGTAAGTAATACTTACTGAAACTTTTATTTCAGTTATACACACAAGCACACATACACACATCCTGATACAAAATGGGTTTCGTATTATGGGTTGTGATGCGCAGTGAAATAGACTACTGGAGGGTTGTAAATAATGGGCATTCAGAAATGTCTGATGAATGAATTCATACGTAAATAAAAGAATATACACAGCTGCTATGGCAGTAAAGATGACCATTCAGACATCAGGCAGAGTGAAAGAAAGAAGTGAGGAATGGTCATATCAAGAGAGACAGAAGGAGCCCACAGAAATGACCAATAAGGAATAGTGGCCAAGGAAATAGAAGCTTAAACAAAGAGGGAGGTCACAGTATGGAAAGCTACCAAGATATCAACTGAAATAAAAATTTCAAAATATAAATTCTGAAAGCTTTTTTTAAGTTGCAGACCCTTTTGAACATCTCACAAAAGCTCTGAATTCTCTCCCAAGAAACTAAGTGCATGTGCAGGTAACATGTGCACACTGTACTGTGTGGAATGCAGGGTCCTGCAGTGTAACTACGCCCTCCCCGACCAGTCCCCAGGCCCGAGTTAAGAATCCCCACTTTTATAACAGCTACTGGATTTAGCAGTTAGAATTCAGAGTGTCAGGACTCACTTCAGTGGAAGACAAGGATGGAGACCGGCCTATAGTAGGCTAAGTAATAACTAGAGGAGCAAAGAGAGAAGCAAGCCAAGCGCACAGCTGGAAGAGGCCAGATTAACTGTGAAGGAAGGGAAGACACAGGCGCTAGAAAGGAGGCTGAAAGGTTAAGAGACAAGAAAAGATCTGACACTCGGAAAATTCACCTCCAAGCAGAGAGGAGTTGCTACATTCACAAGGGGCAAAATGGTTGCAAGAAGAGGATTCTAGTGTCTGTTTTTTGGCATTTAATACTTCGATTTGTTAAAATAGGTATGAAAAGCCTGTCAAAATTTAAAGTCATGATTTTAAGTAGACCAAAGACATTCCCCATCACTCTATGACAGTGACCAGCTATTAGGGAGTACCTGATACTGACAGAAACTCTGCTGGACTGACTTCAAGTAACTTCAAGGAGGGTTATATCAAGAAATTCAGCCTTACTAAAGGAAGTTGTTTAAGATGTGTTTCCTATGTATTCTGTATGTAAAACAAAATACACATGTCCAGAAAACTTTTATTTTTTTCATTTTAAAAGCTAGTATTTTATATCTAGTTCATTTTTAAAAAAACTTTATAGCATTTTCAAACCTTCCTAAAATAAATATCTTACTTTTCTAAGTTTTTAAAAAGTTTTTTAAAGATTAATTTACAACTCAGGATAACTACATACCATGAAATTGACCTCCTAAAACAGTGATGCCATCTATTACAGAATGTGCAAGTTTCTCACTGCTAGGCCTAGGAGAGAAAAGGGAAGAAAACAATACATCTCGTCCTGAAACCAACATGGTGGCTAATTCTGAAAACAAATGCTGAAACTATGTGCTACAAATATCAGAATAATAAGTTCACTGTATTTGAGCTGAAACCTATCAAGTCTGAAAACTCTGAAAAAATAATTTCTGTAAAGTATAAATAGTCTTTTATAATGTTATTTCTTGGAAAGATAATAACTTTTAAATGAATTAAGAATATAGATATAAAGAACATACTAATTACACCATATCCAAGTGCCTTTTCAAGCTTGGCAATAACTGCACAAAAATATCTTTTTGTAAAGGAAGTCAAAGCCTGTCAAATATAACAAATTTGTAAAAATAAAACGTTAATATTTTACAGTGAACTCCAGCACGAGAAAATAATACAAATACACCGCACAACAACACGATTATAAAACCAATCTCTAAAAATAATGAGTTAAAAGCATGCATTCTTTAGGGGAAAAAAGTAAACCTACCCAAGTAAAGGGGTGGGAGAAATCTATTAAGTGTTTCTCTCATGCCAAGAAATATATATTTTGCATGCACAATTTCATGTAACCCTCACCAAAACTTGCATTAGGACTTATCATCAACATCTCAGAGATGAGCAAAGGGAAGCTCCAACAGGTTAAAGTGTACAGTAAGTGTTAGAGTTGGTGTTCGGATGCCAAAAAAAGCAAGATGCAGCAGTGACTTAGTTCCCACATCCCACTACAAAGGCCAGGTGGGAAAAAGCCTCTCAGGGTGGTCCTACTGAATTTCTTTCAATTTGTCCTGGGCACTCAACCTCATTTATACTGAGTCCCCAAAGCTGCGTTCAGCGGTAACTCGGATGTTCACCTGGTATCTCTCCCAATCACTACGAAGGCATCTCGTTGCAGATCCACAGCAGCTTTCTTGCTGATGTCCAGCAACACACTCTGCACATCTTGCTCCTCAGCATTTGCCAAACAGGTAGCGTGTTCCTCCCAGGAAGGTGCCAGCATTTCACCCAAAGGATCAACCAATTTGACACCATTGTCTTCCTTAAAAGAAAATGATAAGTCATCCACGCATATTCAAAAGGATGAGCTGAGGAAGTAAATGCAAGCTGTTTTTCCTCCACAAAGGACAGTGATGGCACCAGTTCACCAGTGGCCCCTACTGAATGACACAGGCACTAGACTAGGCATTTTACATACATTAGCTCAGTAAATCCTAAAGACCCCACATATCAATCTATTATTCCTAGCATTATTCCAATCTGAGAAAAAGATTCAGATGAAGTAATTTGCTTATATTCATACAGCTAAGAAGCATCAGTGCTGACATTAAAAGATGAAGTCTATCTCCCTCTCACACCCAACAGACCACACTAGTTTTAAAAGGCTGACATCCGTGCATACTCATCAATGAGCGGACTAGGGCACAGCTGGAGCAGAGTGAGGGCACCTAGAGATCCTTCTCTCTACGACTCTAGACTCGAAGCACGTCCTGGCCATGTGTCCACCAACAGGTGGCACAGAAGCTGAAAACTAACTCCTAACCCTGTTCTGCTCAAATTTCTGAAAAAAATAAAGTGCAGTTTAGAGTAAGTGTCAACTGAAGAAAATAGCTCAAAATTATTTTAAGAAATTCTTCTGGAACTAACAATAAATGTGAGGTCTGCCTACAGGTCATTAATCAATTATGGGAATTCAGATATTTAAACACTTCACGTATTTATAGTGATGCACATTTATAAGTTGGGTCAGCAAAGTCCTCTTGTTTGGGGGAAAAAGGTTGCAATCCTTCACTAACCTAAATAGCTTTAATTTACTGTTGATTTAGCTACAAAGGCAAAAATCTCCTGCCCTATCAACAAAACAGAAGCATATTATTCAAACCATGTACAGGGTGGGCAAAAGTAGGTTTACAGTTGTTCAGAAGAAAAATACAAAAATAAATAAATAATAATACAAGAATAAACTGTTTTTGCATACTCAGAACTGTAACCCTACTTTTGCCCCACCCTGTATTAGTGAGCCACAGAATAAAATAGTTTAGTTGTGTCAAAAGGAATATTTTGATAAAAAATTGTCATGAACAACTAACACATCAGCCAAATCAGTATTTTGCCCTAAAGTCATTTTTGGATCCCCTGAACATCCTGTTTGGCTACTTCTTCAGAACAGGAAACTATTCCCTAGGTATAAAAAAAAACCTGTCTGAAAATTTTCAAAATGTGCTAAGTTTTTGCAAGTGTGTGCTCTTCCCCTACCTTGGTTCTATTAATTTCTGCTAAATTAACAGAGGTAAGACTTTTTATTACTGATATTTTGACAATACAACTAATTCGCAAGGACATTCTGTTATTTCTTTAAAATGGACACTCCCCTAAAAACGTTAACAGTCTCACTTCATTCCCGCCACACCCTCAAAGAGTCATGAGCTAAATGACCACTCACAAGAAAAAGTTGTATCAAATCCAAGTGCAAAAACCAATGACAAGGCACATTCCTAGGACTAGAATTTGTACTTTTGGTCAAACTGCTCAGACACACTAAGGTTTGATCTTGTAAAGAAAGGTTTCTTTCTCAGAGCACTAAATACATACCTCAGGATTATGTGATGCTGTTACCATGACTCCTATTGTAGATTGTGTCTGTTTTGACCTCAGAACGGCTAATAATCCCATGCGAAACATGACATGATCAAGATGCTCTGCTTTCGTCCTAAATCCAGCAGTCCCATATTGAAGAATGAGTCCATTGGGCTTGGCATGCAAAGCTGAGTGTTTCATGATAGCTTCTAAATCCATGCCTACAAAATTAAGGAATACTTTTCAGGCACATGAATAAATCTTTTCATGACCATTTCATTCAAAAATGCCACCCCAAACTAATAGGCATGCCTCACTTTAAACCTCCCCCAAGAACCATGTCTGAGAGAGAAAAGAATGATAAAGTAAGGCCTGGAGGTTAGTATTACCAGAAGATCTTGCCCCACTTATACTGTCACTCCAAGGCAGAGATCACATTATCTCCAACTCATCTCCCATTTTGGCTCCAGATGGGCCCAGCACAAATTTAAAATGGTCCACTCTCAACTAAAGTGAAGATTCCACACATAGATTCAGAGATTCCTACAAGAGCAAAGATCACCTCATTGTATAAAGAGGGCAGTTTAAGCCTGGGCCTCAGTTAGATAAGCTAAGTTCACATGGGTAGCTGGTGACACTGAAGCCTAAGGTCATATTCTCAAATGGACTGGACCTACATTTCCAAAATATCTGGGAAATCTGTGAAGTTCTTTTGCACTTCTTCCCAACCTACAGAGACACATTCCCAGATGAAAAGCAAAGGGTAACAGTCTCTTCTCCAAAACGTGACAGTGGATTTTTCTATTTTCATAAGGATCAGGACATCCCTCTAAATTAAGTTCTGAAACTGGCAACATCTTCCTTTTACCTTTAATTAAAAAAGAAAAGCAAACAACGGCCCTTAGCCATCTGGCCCTACTTAGTCCACTTAGTCACTTCTCTGGGATACTCCACTTAGTCCACTTAGTCAGTTCTCTAGGATACTCCAAGTTTAAGTGGCGCTTGAGCTTCCAACCTCAGTTGTAGGTACTACTCAACTTCCTGGGTCAGTCCCATTTCCAATCAGGCAAGAGATGAGGAGCAGTCCCCCAGCTGCGGTCCTCACCACAGGCCTATCTGGTAGGCATTATGGCTCGGGATACAGACAACAGCAACAAAGCAAGTATTGCAATAAAGCTAGTCATAACCTTTTTTGCTGGTGGCGTGTCTTGCCTTCAACTTGTAAAATGCATAACATCTGTGAAGTACAATAAAACTAAGCACTATAAAATAAGGTATGCCTGTATCTTGTTTTCTGTATTGTCCGTAATTCAATGAACAAAAGCTAAAGGCAATGGTGAAAAATGTTTGCTTTTGTTCAGTTGGCAAAAGCTAGCATTCAGCAAGCTACCTTAATTCGGTTCAAAGTGATCAAATCTCTTTCACAAGCAAGAATACATTTTGTTAAAAACTGACCAGTCGGTAATGTGCATGATTATTCACAGGGCGTAAACCAACCCTGCTAAATCCAGATTTTTTTTTTTTGAAGTTATGATGAATCCACCTCTGAACTCTAAAAGCGTTTTAGGTGCCGAAACTACTATCGATGCGTATGTGAACGCTTTTATTAAAAGTATTTCCAAGTCCACACAGTGCCCACTCTGAAAACGTTAGAAGTGTCCCCCGTCTTCCATTCGAACATCTACACCTCCTCTGTTCCTCCTATACCCTTCCGGCCCGAGGCCCCGAGACTCTGCCCAGGCGGGTGGGTGACACTGCGCAGCACAAGACCCTCGGGCTGGCCCACCAGCCGGTTTCCTCGACGCAGCGGCGAGTGGGTGTGTCCCGCACACGGTCCCTGTGTCAGTCCTTTAGCCTACTCACTAGCCTGTAAGGCGGCCGAACCCCCGTAGACCGTGACGTCCGGTTTCACCGCCAAGCCGCAGGGTCCCACTGACCTCTGCCAGGAGACTCGCTCTCACCTCCACAGAGCGGAGAAACTGCCTCGCGGCGGCGACTGGAACCACCCTGGAACTCTCGACCCGCAGACGTGGCCGTGCGTGGCTTCCGGCTCGTCGCCACGCCCCTCAACCAATCACTGTGGGGGAGGGTTCACTCGCCCCGCCCTGCCTCCTCAAGGATCGCGCGCAGCTAGCGCCTGCAGGAACTGCGGAACCCGGGTCCGAGCGGGCTTGAGGCTATTTCGATTGAATGACCAGGAAGGGTGAGGCCTCCTCGGTGGCCTGGGGTTTGGGGCCTAGGGTCGCGGGCCGTCCTAGCACTGCCACCGGAACATGCCCAGCCCCGCCTCCAAATTTGGGTCTGGGGGTGGCCAGTCCCGTCCAGTGTCGTGGGAAGCCGAGGATCCTAGTGCTCTGGGATGGGGTTGGGGGAGTGCCAGTCCCCATCTGGGGCCTCTGACAAGGCGGTCTCGGCCACAGTGAACGCCACCCAATTTCTTGCATCCGCTTCTTGATTCTCCAGGTTCATCTCCCAAACCGTTGACTCCGGGAGGCCTTCTTGGGTCACCACTCCCACCCCATCTCCGCCCTTTTAAGACTAAAATTCATATATGTAACGGTAGGACCCCTCCCCGCTCCACAAACCTGGGCACCTCGGAGCGGAAGCAAATGGATTCAAAGCGTCCAGAGCTCTCACGACGCCACCCGGGCCGGTGTTGTTCTCTGGAGAGGCGTAAAGACCCACCCGAGAGGCTAGGGGGGCCGAGGGCGAAACTGGCGTGGGCGGCGGTGCCTCGAGACCCCAAAGCCTTGGGACCCAGAGCTCCGCCCCAACGGCACTGCGGAGCTCCCTCACCGCAGCCTCTAGCTCTGCCCATGCCAGAGACCTGGGAGGATTCAGAAGCTGGGCCCCTTGCCTATCCCAGAATTCAGGCTTTCTAACCGTCCGCAGATGTTTGCCAACCACCTGCAACGAAGTAATTCGGAACACTTGTTGAAAGTTCACATTCCCGGATCTAGATCGGAAGCGGGAGTAAAGGGACTGGGAATCTGAATTTTAACGAAGTATCTTGGGGGATGTTGCGCATACTAAATGCTGGGGTCCAGGAGATAAAGAAGAAAGAGCGTAAGCGTGCCAGTTTGTGCCCCTAGCTCTCAATGCTTAGCGATCCTGTAAAACTGCTTCCGAGCAAAGGGACCTTCGGGAAATTTCGGTAGGCACTGCCGACTGACAAACCCAGTGTCCCTGGGCCTTTCCAGTTTTCCTGGCAGGTTGATACCAAGGCAACATGTCCTCTGCTTCTATGAAAGAGTGCCTGCAGCTTCAGCTGTTGGAGATGGAAATGCTGTTTTCTATGTTTCCTAACCAAGGAGAAGTAAAACTTGAAGATGTAAATGCCCTGACGAATATAAAGAGATATTTGGAAGGTACAAGGGAGGCACTACCACCAAAAATTGAATTTGTGATTACACTCCAGATTGAGGAGCCCAAGGTAAGTGCCCTGAGTTGTTTTAATAGTTGCCATTGCCTAGCTTTTACTGGAAACACCTGGAACATAAGCTTTTGATCCAGGAAACAAATGGAAATACCCTTTAGTTGTTTGAAAGCAAGATATGTGAAATATGGGATGCCCTATATATCATCTTTGACAAACATCCTGAATTGTACATAAACATGCACACCCCTTTTAAACAAATATGCCCAATTTGTTTTATTAACATCTTACTACCATTATTCTGTTCAGTCATCACATTTTTTACCTGTCAACTATTATAGGATGGACACTCTTGTACTTGTCACTTTTACAAATCTAAATGTGGCTTTTTGCAAAAGTGGCTTTTAAGGAGTAAATGAATATTTCTCTGGTGGCACCCTAAACACAGAAAGGAAATACAGATAGAAAAATCTAAATTCTAAAAATGAAATTATCTTAATCTTCAGATCCATTTATCTCCAGCATTAGCACAGCATAGGTAACAAGTGGACTAGGCATTTGAGGACAACTCTTACAAATTCTCGTACTCATCCTTTGTCATTTCCTGAGAGATGTCTTGGGTCCCCAGACTGATTCAGTCCCCCTGGATACACATTTCAGTGGATCCCTATAGTCTTCCACAGTAATGCTTCTTACTGTTGAAATTAAATACTTGCTATATGTAATTATTTGTTTAATGTCTGTCTCCTTCACTAGGATCTAGACTTCACAAAGGCAGAAATAGTGTCTCCACTTCTTCATTCTAGCATAGGTTACCTGCATGTGGTTAGGTGAGTTAAGTATTCAACTGGAATGAATGAATGCATAAATGGGAAGGAATAGTGTATATAAAGTATTTAGTATGGTGTCTGGCACTTAGCTGGTAATAGTAGCAGTAACTATTACATTTAATAAAGTCATGATAAACCAGCTTAGGTGATTTTATGGTACTTAAATCTATTTGATTTTCATTTTAAGGTGAAAATCGATTTGCAAGTAACCATGCCTCACAGCTACCCCTATGTAGCATTGCAGCTGTTTGGACGGTCGTCTGAGCTTGACAGACAGCAGCAGCTACTTCTCAACAAAGGTCTCACTTCCTACATAGGGACGTTTGATCCAGGTGAGCTCTGTGTGTGCGCAGCAATCCAGTGGTTACAGGACAACAGCGCCTCCTATTTCCTGAACAGAAAGCTCGTTTTTGAACCTTGTACACAAGCAAAGCCAGTTAAGAACACATTTCTCCGAATGTGGATCTACAGCCACCATATATATCAGCAGGACCTAAGGAAAAAGATTTTGGATGTTGGGAAAAGGTTAGATGTGACTGGATTTTGTATGACAGGAAAGCCTGGTATAATTTGTGTGGAGGGCTTCAAAGAGCACTGTGAGGAATTCTGGCACACAATTAGGTACCCCAATTGGAAACACATTTCCTGTAAGCACACGGAAAGTATTGAAACAGAAGGAAATGGGGAGGACCTGCGCCTTTTCCATTCTTTTGAAGAATTACTCCTAGAGGCCCATGGTGACTATGGATTAAGGAACGACTATCACATGAATCTGGGCCAGTTCTTAGAATTCCTAAGAAAACACAAAAGTGAACATGTTTTCCAGATATTATTTGGTATTGAAAGCAAAAGTTCAGATTCCTAGAAAGCTATTGAAAGGCCTATGCTTGTAATTTCACCAAGTCGGTATTTCTGTCAATAAAACCAAAATAAAAAGGCCAGTGGCTGTTTACCGCTCCTGTGAGAAACCTAGCTCCAAAACTTCTGCATAGGCCTTTTAACTTTGTACCAGTGCAGTCATGATGTTATCTGTGTTCTTGTGTTAACTGAAAACTGTTTAATTGTAATTTAATAAAAGCAGTCAATTTAACTGGGGAAGCTGATTTAATTCGAGAGGAGTCCAAAGCCCACAGTTGCTGTCAGCAGTCCAGCCACAGCTGGGTTCATAAATAGGAGTGACATCCCCCTCCCCCTTCGTGATGCTAGCGTGCAGTTGGCACACATGTTTCTTTCATTACTGGAGATGAATTCTAAATCAAGTTTAAAATGAGAACACAGAGCATGTTTACTGCATTGCTTACTTTATGTTAAAGCCCTTATTTTGAGGTTTTTTTCTTTCAGTAAAAGCAGATCCTGTCTGTTAAGGCAGAGGAATCAGCTGTCTCAATAGTAGTGAAGACAACACAGGTTCTTTGGCTGTTTACATCAGCTGATTAATGATACCAATGCTAATGATACCAATATTCCTAGTTCAGTTCTTTTCCACAAAAAATGATTTGTCTACAAAGTGTTCCGCAGATGATGCATCCTGGCAATGTTTGCCCAGGCGCCAGGGCGAGAGCTGCAAGAGGCCCAGTGTGGATGCCCCTGGATCGTCCCCTTAGTGGGGGGAAAATATCAAGCTCTACATTTTGGTGATAAGTCACTGTCATCTCTTCTGAAAATTCCAAGCACCACAGGCTTCACCAGCCTTTTTCAAAATGAGAGTTTATTCTAATGGTAATAACTCCTATTGAAGTGGCACTTGCCAAAAACCTTTTCATGACAAAGTATCTGCCCCACACCAAAATTTCTGAGCGTCTCCTCTGTGTCAAGGAGTATCCTGAGCTGCCTCTCTGCAGCTTTCTCTGATTCCCATGCTTTCTGCCTACTACTGTCCTTTCTCAGGGAACATTTTATTCTGCTGGGTCCCAGGCACCCCACTGATGTCCTGGTCCCCTCAGGACTCCAAAGCTGGATGCTGAAATTTAGTAACTTGGAGGGGAATTCCTCAGTCCCCATATCGTGGTAAACTGTTAGATGCCCATCACTGCTGCACGTGCTTACAGAATTTTTGATGACTAGTGCATGCTGGCTTTGCGGTGTCTAAGATGTAGACACCTGTCCTTGGGTCAAGGCCAGGACAAACGGAGTAGCAGACCGACTCGTGACCTTGAAGCCTTGGAACTAGGTCCACCCTGCTCTGCCTGTGCTCTTAGCTCAGAATGAGTTTCCTTTCAGGCACAACTTAGAGGCTCTGCCGTGGTCCTGCCTTGCTAGATCTTCCAGCTTGCGCATCCTTGCTATAGATGTGGCTGGGACTCGAGCTGGAGCCTCACTTATTTTTCAGTACAAAAAAAGAGGGGAGAAATAAGACTTACATGGAGTGAAAACAACTTTGTATAGAATTTTCCACATAATCTCCCCCAAACCAGTTAAGTGTAATTAGTATTCACAAGTTCTAGACAGATGTAACTTCACTAATTTCTTTCCTTTGAAATGAGACAATAATAATGTGCCAAAGCACCTAATATGTGCCTAAACCATTCAGAGATTTTTCTATGATTAAATTTGCAAAAGTAGTGACAGATAAGCTTAAAGAACTGAAATAAGGAACAAAAAGCACATTATTTACATATCAAATGAAGGGAATAAATTCTAGCTTATGAAGTCTTTTTTGCCTCTGGCTGTTTCTGGTGATAGTTTTTCAGAACCTACTTTTATGTGACCTGTATGAGCATGCAGCAATACTTTATTGCTATCAGAAGCACTAATAATAGACATTAATTATCAGAGAAGTGTAGGTTTTTATAGAAAAAATTCAAATATGATCATTCAAAATTCAGCTGCATATGTTCAGTAAGTAGACTACTGGTTTTGTCGGTTCAGTTTGATAAGAAGCACACAGCACTCCACACACACACAGACTTTGGGGAACCGTCCCTTCTCTATGTGGCCTGGGGGAAGTGAATGACATGAAATCACCCACTGGCAGCCTCCCATAAAGGCAGTTTTGATCTCTTACTTCTTACACCCGCAATGCCACCTTCACTTCTGGCCTTCTGAATGCTTGGTTATTCAACACCTCCTTTGAGCTACCCAATGCCTGCCCTTTTTTTCTTGAAATACTCAGTCTCTACTGCTTGTAACTGAAGAAACCTGATACCGTATACATACATTATATTTTTAAAATAGTTATTCAGAAAGAATGCTCATTTTAAATGTGGTAGTGTCTTTAAAATATAGTGAATTAAGTCAACATTTCTTCAAGTATGTTCTCTTGCTTTTTGTTCCTTATTGGTCTAGTATGCGCTAGGCTAAGGGCTGAGGATATGTGTATAATGGATTGAGGAGCTGGCCAGGTGGCTTGATGGACCACAACCTGAGGACCTGCGAAACATCCCACATAAAAGCAGAAGTATGTTGCCTGTGGACTGTTTCCATATATGATGGCTTACACACCATCCATCCCTTCTGAGAACCTGAGAAGGCCTGGAGGGAGCCTATCTCAGGTCTCCACAGAACTCTTTGAACAGGACAGTTTTTTTTCATTTGCTTTTACCTCAAGTAGCCCAGTGTTAAGTTGAAAGAATAGGTATTTTCTGAAGAGAGCATGGTTTGCTCAAAAATCCTGGTTTTATACAGAATCCTGATTTGCCCCAAAACTCTGAGTCCACTTGATTTCTCTCACTCATAAGATCCACATGGTAGAAGTACTTTCACTGCAGCCAGGACCAGCTGGAGAGGCCTTTTTTCTTCTTAGACCAGTTAAAGCTGGAAGCATGTGGATCACCCATAAATAGATTTGACTAGTGGACCCAAAATTCAAAGAAGCCCACAAAACACTCGGTTCCTCCTTAGTCGTAGGTGGGACAAAGTATACCATTTGTTATGGAGGGGATGCTCCAGCATGCACCAGACTCTTGGGCTTTCTTTGGACTGACCATCTACCCTACAGCACAATGGCTGTTAGCAGGTGTCCATGGAGCCTGATGGCACCCGTGCTCCTGGTCCTACGAGCACAGCACCGTCAATGCATTAGACCAGCATGATGCTCCGGACAACAGTGAGATCATTAAGGTCCAATAACCAGAATTATATTCCGGGACAGTGTCAGAGAGTTAATGAAACATTGACAAAAAGACAATCTATAATGTTGCTTGTTGATAGCACAAACTGCTTTGGAGCCCTCTACTCGCTGGAATAAAGGAGAAACAAGTTAAAAATCATTGGCCAAATCAGTAGCCACCTACTAATTCACTCCAACAAAGAGAACTTGTCTGACAGAGGGCTGTTTTTCCTAAAGATCCATCTGTCTCTTACATATGCCAAAGTCATGTTAATTCCATATATAGTAAGAATCACACCTCTGCTTATTCTAAAGTTTCTAATAGCAGGACTTATCCCTGCAAATTATCTGGAATTTCCTGCCAGAATAATCCTTTTTTCTTTTTGATACATTAGGGATCCAACATGGGGATATTGCCATAGATGATGAAGAACTCAATTCTAACTGTCTACTGGGAAACTACTAGAAGATGGGTTTATTCCTATAGCATACACTTTGTCACATAGAGTCCCCAGAAATTTGTATTCATTCAGACTATGGCCAGATGATTTCCAAAAGGCCTAGTGGTTTTCTTCATGCAGTGCACTGTTGTTCTAGTAAATGCAGCCACAAAGGAAGATTTTGGAAACATCTATATTACAGAGTTCTTCACTTTCGAGGTCATTCATTTGTATTTGTGATTGGCAACATGGTGAGGGCCTTGACACTCAATCTTGGTGGCAATAGTCAGGCTTTTCTGCTGCTGTTTTACATGTCAAGTAGACCTGTGTGGGTTGCCCACCAATTAGACCTCAGTGAAGCTGATATTCAGCTGATAGACTCTGCTGTGGTTGTATCAGTTGTACACACTGGCATTCATTTTTCTTGGTCAGCACTTGTGCTGTCCTAGTTGTTAAAATTTTAACCAAAATTTCAGGACATGGGGCCCTGTGATTTACTGGCCACCAGCAAAGATTTCTGTAAACTAAGCTATTCTGAGTACAGTTGGTCTGCTTCTATTATCATGTTTCCACCTTGTCTCCAGTTATTAATTGATGCAAAGTGCTGCTGTTAAGGTTCTATCAAGCCTGGGGTTCTGACATCTCCACTGAAATAAGGGACCCATTTTAACCACAGCATTCCCCATAACCCTCCACAGCTTACAGAGAAGAGCCATTAAAATGCTTTTCATGTCCTCAACAAAATATTAGGAAACTGAATTCAACAATACATTAAAATGACCATACACTATGATTGAGAGATTCCTAGGATGAAAAGATGCTACAAAACCAGCAAATCAACCAATGTGATATGCCACATTAACAAAATAAATGATAAAAACAATAAGATTGCCTCAAAGATGCAGAAAAAGCATATAACAAAATTCAACAACCATTTATGATAAAAACTCTCAAAAATTATGTATACAGGGAATATACCTCAACATAATAAAGGGTATATATGATGAGCAGAGAGCTAATACCATGCTCAATGATAAAAAGCTGAAAGCTTTTCCTCTAAGATCGGAAACAAGGCAAGGATGCCCACTCTTGCCACTTTTATTCAACATAGTATTTAAAGTCATATCCAGAACAATTAGGCAAGAAAAAGAAAGAAAAGGCATCCGAATTGGAAAGGAAGAAGTAAAACTGCCTCTACTTGAGATGACTACCAAGATACAATACTATTAGAACTAGTAAACATTCAGTGAAGTTGCAAGAATCAATATTCAAAAATCTGTTGATTTCTGTACAAGAGTAACAAACTATAAGAAAGAGAAATTAAGAAAAGTATCTCATGTATAATTGCATCAAAAGGAATTAAATACCTAGGAATAAACTGACCTGAGGAGATGAAATACCTGTACACTGAAAACAATAGGACATTGATGAAAGAAATTGAAGATGCAAATAAACAGAAAGATATTCCATGTTCAATGATTGGAAGAGTTAATATTGTTAAAATGTCCATAATACTCTACAGATTCAATGCAATCCCTATCCCAATTCTAATAACATTTTCACAGAAATAAATTCCAAAATTTGTATGGAACCACAAAAGACTCCAAATAGCCAAAGCAATCAACAAAGCCGGAGACATCGCACACCCTGATTTCAAATTACACTACAAGGCTATAGTCATCAAAACAGGATGGTGTTGGCATAAAAAGAGACACATAGATCAATGAAACGGAATAGAGCCCAGATATAAGCCCACACAAATATAGTCAATTAATCATGACAAATGAGCCAAGAATATACATTCAGGACAGTCTCGTCAATAAATGGTACTGGAAAAACAGGACCACTACACAAAAATTTACTGAACATGGATTAAAGAGTTGAATGAAAGGCCTGAAACTATAAAACTCCTTGAAGAAAACACAGGAAGCAAACTTCTTGACATTGGTTTTGTCAGTGATATTTTTTGAATTTGACACCAAAAACAAAGGCAACAAAATAAATAAACAAATAAGCAACAAAAGCACAAATAAACAAGTGGTATACAGCAAACTATAAAGTTCTACACAGCAAGGCAACCCTCAACATAATAAAGAGGCAACCTACTGAAAGGATGGAAATATTTGAATGATATATCTGATAAGGAACTAATATCCAAAATATATAAAAACTCATACAACTCAATACAAGCAAAAAAATCCAATCTAGTTAAAAATAGGCAGAGGATCTGCATAGACATTTTTAAAAAAAAAGATATAGATGTAAACATTCCAAAAAGTCCAACAAGTGCATGAAAAGATGCTCAACATCATTAATCATCAAGAGAATGCAAATAAAAACCACAATGAGGTATCACCTCACATGTGTCAGAAAGCTATTATCAAAATGGCAAGAAATAAGTGTTGGTGAGGATGTGGGGAGAAGAGAACCCTTGTGTACTGTTGGTAGGAATGTAAATTGGTGTAACCATTATGGATAGCAGAATGGAATTTCCAAAAAAATTAAAAATGGAACTATCATATATGATCCAGGAATTCTAATTCTGTGTACTTATCTACAGAGAATGAAAACACTAATTCATACAGATATAAGGGCACTGTGTTCATTGCAGCATTATTTATGATAGTCAAGACATGGAAACAAACCAAGTGTCCAAAAATGGGTGAATGGATAAAGAAAATATGGTATAAATGAATACTTTTCAGCTATAAAAAGAGTTAAGCCCTGGCTGGTGTGGCTCAGTGAATTGAGTGGCCTCCTGTGAACTGAAAGGTCACCAGTTCAATTTCCGGTCAGGGCCATGCCCAGTTTGTGGCCAGGTCCCCAGTGGGGACATGTGAGAGGCAACCTATCCATGTTTCTCTCCCTCTCTTTCTCCCTCCCCTGCCCTTTCTCTGAAATAATCTTTTTTTTTAAAAAAAAAGTAAAATCCTGCCATTTGCTACAACATGGATAAACCTTGGAGGCATTATGCTACATGAAACAAAACTTACACATGGAATCTAAAACAAACAAACAAACAAAGCACTGAGCTCATAGATATGGAAAAGAGATTGGTGGTTTCCAGAGATGGGGGATGAGGGGTTGGGGAAAATTGGTGAGATGGGTCAAAATATACAAATTTCCAGTTATAAAATAAATAAGTCATGGGGATGCAATGTATAGCATGCTGACCACAGTTAATAATACTCTATTGCATATTTGAAAGTTGCTAAAAGAGTAAATCTACCAAGTTCTCATCATGAGAAAAATAAATTTTTTTAGAACTATGTATGGTGACAGATGGTAATGAGACTTACTGTGGTAAGCATTTCACCATATATACAAATATCAAATCATGTTGTACACCTAAAACTAATATAATATTATATGTTTATTATACCTCAATTTTAAGAAATGTTTTCCATGGATGCTGCTGTTCCCTTCACCAATGTGTCTGTCAAGGCCTTAGTGAGAGTCACTGGTAGGTCCTCTGGGGAAATTTAGGGAATTGGTAGGATAGAATGGTCTGATTTGGACAGAACAAATCCATTCTAGCATTCTCATCTTTGTAAATCTTTAAATTGCTTTATATTATTTCAAGGTTTGTTTGTGTTCTCAATTTTATGTAATGTGGGCCATTATTAAGTCTACATTTCAGTCAACTAACTGAACCAACAAATAGAATCACTTTCAACTGCTTAAAGCAGCGCACTGAACCCAGAATCTGTGACAAGCACACACTATCAAACAATTCTACCCAGTCCGAAATTACACCTCTCCTTCCTCAGTACATTTTCAGAATCCCAAACATTTTCCTCAAGTGTTGCCAACACAAATGAGCGAAGTCTAGAATTCTTTCGGTGGGAATCTTCTCCTGGGTTTGCCCTTTTTATTTATACCCACTACAGCTCCTCTTCATGATAGAATCTGACAAGATGTTAATTATGTTACACGGGGTGAGGTCATTACAGGACCTTCCAGCAAGGCAGTACAGACATCTTCAGACAGGAAGAGCTCCCACTCTGATTAGCAAGAGGGGACATGTCACATGTTCTGGTTTGCCTGGGGGTGGGGGGTTGGCGAGCTTCCTGGGACATACAACTTAACAGCAGTCAAACAAGAGCTATTGTTCACCTAGTGCAGTGTGTCACGAGTCTGCCAAATGCCCCTTGCCATACGTCCCCATCCCAAATCCAGGACCTGCTGTGTCCTGGTCAGTACTCTTAACTTACACGAGGCCTGGTGAGTCTGTGAGTGCAGCTCCTGGTGGAATCTGGCAAACCGCACATTAATAAAACCTTGGTTTTCAGTTATTTCAGTCTTAAAGGTGGAAAGAAAGAGATCCTTTTTAGCAAAAAGGATTTTTAGTAAAAAAATAACTATATTTTTGTGCCTATGTTTTACCAAAACTATAATATATGGCATGTAATAAATGAAGTTCATTCTGAAATTAGCTATCAAAATATTTTTAAATGTATAACATACTGTCACATGACCACTCATTAAGACCAGGCATTATTTTAAAATGTAACAATACTTTAAGAGAAAAACAATTATTTTATGATTTTATTCATTCACTTTTTCTATGCTTTAATAAATCTTTTGCATAGGTTAAGTACATTGAGTTAGAGCTACAAGACAACATGGAAACAGACAAAAAATAGGTGTTCTGGATCTTTTCAAAATAACTATTTTGAGGAAATTCTTGACTAAATGTTACCTTCAGAAATACCCCCACCCCTTCTACTCACATTTAAAACAATTTGTGTAACCTGCAACTTCCAATAAAATCATTTTTATAGTACAGTTTACCTTGAACATCTCTTTGTAATCTTTAAAAGCATTACTTCAAAACCAGCAAATTCTCCAGGAAATTCTCCTGGAAATAAGTAGCAAATGTTATTGTACCTGAGCTTACAAATTTAAAATTATATCCATTGGTTCAGTGATTAATTTCTAAAGTAAACCTCAAAACTAACATGAATTTTTTGGCAATAACTATTAAAGGTAATTAGAACATTTTAATATCTAATGTAAAGATAATTTCTGGTATTAGGGAAGTGGTTACCAAATTTTCTCCAAGTTCAGAGGAAACTGTGTTTATTGTAACAACACAATGAGCTCTTAATTACTGAGCAAATCAAGAGGACATTAGATCAGATCACTCAATTTGGAACCCAGCTTGTCCGGGAACCATGCCCTTGCTCCTAACTCTGGACACTTTTGTCTTAAAAGGTCAACTGCACAGACAGCCCTTTCTCAAGGAACTTACCTACTCTTTTCTCGGCTCTTCCCACCTAGCAGGCTGTGCTGAACTGAAGGGACCTACCTCAGGACAGGAGCCACAGTCCTCACAAGCCAGGCAGCGGCAGAGGGGAGCAGAAGGGCAGAGCACCCAGTCAGGGGGAGAAAGGTGCTGTTAGAAGGGATATCCGATGGAGGTCACGGTGAGAGCAAGATGCAGCAATGGGGAAAGAATAGTAAAATCTAAGGCTGCCCAAGACATTGTAAACAGCAATGATCTCTCTTAGAAATGTTAGAATTCAGTTCACCAAAAGAAGGAATATAGTCTAGAGTTGGAATAAAATACCTGAGAGGTTGTATTTCTCTAGGCAACAAAGTGTTGTTTCTGCTTTTAGCAAAAGTTCATCTATGTCTAAATATATTTCTGTATTTATGTGTGTGTGTGTACAAAGATTTTTAACAAAATGGTCAACAAAAAAATATGGTTTTCATTTTAATCACATCAATTAATTACTAATTTTGGTCTTCCCATTAGTTTCCTATCTAAAAACAACTGAGTTTCTCAGTGGTAGGTACAACAGCTTTTAAAGAGAACTTAGGTAAAATAAGATAGAAATCATAAATAACCAGAGAGTAAATAAACTAAGTAACATTTATCATAAAGTATGTTAATATTTTTCCATGAATTTTTAGATTGCTAAAGTAAAATTATCTTAACCTATCATATATAAATCATTATAAAAGATTCCAATCTTTAAAAATTATGAAAGACTTCAAGATCTCATTAATGGAGTTAGAAATGTCAACTGCTAGGCTACTGTTCAAGTTTGGTCTGTATTTGCTGGGCCTCTTCGGGCCAAGAATAACAATCAGGTAGAATCTGGTCATAATCAGCGCTGTACATCTGAGAGCGGACGAAGGCCTCCTTGTCTGGGGGCTCAGGATAAATGGTGGCTGTCTTTTCTTGGTATGCAACTTTCACAATCTAGAAAGAGGAAAAAGAATGTTAATTTAATAAACAGAGGTGACAGTAACACATGTCAAAAGTTTTTATCTGTTTAAAAAAATTAATTTATAATTTATATCTTCTGTTTTCAAAAATGTTAAGTTGTATTATAAAAGCACATATACACAAAGAAGATACAAAATGAAAATGCAGTTATAGCAAGAGGTGAATATAATACCAGCATCAAAGAAAAGTGTATATAATAGAGATTTAATGAAAAATGACCTACCAGAAATTCTCAGATAGGACAATGGTAAATGTCTTTAAATGACCTGACTGATAATTAATTTGGACTAAATATCATAACATTCCTACTAAGTTTGAACTTAGACACCCTGCAGTTTTAACAAGCCCCATTCTGACCACAGCCTTTTACAAAATCTATTTATTTATTCACCCCAGCATCTCCTGCCTCTGCTCACCTAGTCAGCAGGACCCTATGGGCCATTTCAGTGGTTCCCCCCAGGATCACAGAATCTCTCACTTCCGTGTCTTGGTGTCACTCTCCCCATTCCAGTCCCCCTCTAGGGAACCCTCAGCTCAGCGCTGGCTTTCCCCTCTCATGGCCGTCTCCTGTGATATCCTACTTTTCCTAACCTTACTTTTCCTGACCTTACTTGAGCCCATGTGGTTACACATTATGCTTTTATCCTCTTTAAAAATAATAATAATAAAAAGAATTTCCTCTCCTATTTCCCACAAGGCAACTTCAAACCATGCCTTTTTGAGTCTCCATTTAAGTCTCATCACTCTATGAGAAATTTCCAACTAATCAGAGAAAACATCTAACCTTCCCTTTTCATCAACTCAAACTATCTCCTCTTTATCTTCAAACACTCTTCCCATAATTTCTTTCATAAAAATGGACTGACCCTCTTGTCAAAATGAATCACTCCATACATGCTCTTATACTCACCCCAGTTTCACTGAGGAGCTACTTGTATGATAGACTTATTTAGTAAGTCTGATTGTGAAGAATATTAGAATAATTTTTCGATAAAGTATCTCTTCTCAATGTAAAATTATATATTTATGAAAAGTTATAGTTATGAAGACTGTGCTGTACTATGGAGAAATGTTTATGAAAAAATCAGAAAAATATGTATATTCCCTCTATTATTATAAGGATTTCAGGGGAAAAAGCAAATAATAAAAAAAGGCTGGAAGCACACATAACAAAAAGATAATGCTCATATTAGAAATATAGAATAGTAGGTATTTTCTTCTCTACTTTCCAAAGTGCCTATAATGTGGTAGTATTCCTTTTTGAACAGTATTTTTTGTTGAGATATAATTCACTCAACACAAAAATTCAACCATTTTAAGTATACAGTTCAGTTATTTCCATAAGTTGACTGAGTTATACAACTGTTACCACATCCAGTTTCCGCACATTTCTAGCACCTCAGAAAGATCTCTTGTGCCTATCTGCAATGGTCACATCACTTTCATGATAAAATGCGCTGTTGCATTTCGGACACAGACTACGAGGAATCTCAATCCTCCATCTGCTCCCAGGACACAATATCTGAACCAGCCCCTCTCTCAGAAAGTCCCCACTCTCCCCTGCTTGTCCGCACCAATCTCTGGAAGAGTGGCTCACACTGCTTTCAAATTCTCCCGGGGCTTCTTAACTTCTTGTACTATTGAAACTGCTTTTGTAAAAGTTTCTAATGACTGCTCAAGTACAAGTGAAAGTTGTCATCATTCAAAGTAGTTTTTCTCACCAGGACTTTTGTCTTTTAATCACAATTTCGACCCCCATCCTGAAAGTGTGTCTTCTCTGACTCTCAGACATGCTGCTCAGTTCTGAGTCTGCTCTTAAAGTCACGACTACTTCTCTTCAGAACTGCCTTTCTTCTTCTAGACAGAAAACTTTGTTCTCTCTTTGCTTTCCTTTCCTTTACATACTTACTCTCTTGTAATTCCAACTACCGTTCAGTGTAGTAACAATTAAAACTAGTTAAAAACTAGTAGACACACATTAGGAGAAAATACAAGCATACTGTTTCATAAACAAATAACCAACCAGATTCTCTAAAGATATTTGAAGAATTACTTGGTTTTTGAAGTATTTACCCTCAATCAACAACACATATAATGACATATGAATCGTAAATGGTGTTGTCTTAATAAACTCGATAACAGCTTTGATTTTCAACCAGGAACAATTTTGTCTCTGAGAAAACACTTGGCAACAACCAGAAACATTTCTGGTTTTCACAACTGTGCAGAGGCTACGGTTGTCCAGTGGGAAAAGGCCAGAGATGCTTCTAAATACCCTGCAATGCCCAAGGGAGGCCCCCATGACAGTTATCCAGCCAAAATGTGCATGAGATTGAGAAACCGTAGTTTAAACGTATAACTACTACTATGGGCTGAACTATGCCACCCTAAAATGTGGAAGTCTTAACCCCCAGCACCTCAGAAGGTGACTGTATTTGGAGATAGGGCCTTTAAGAGGTAATTAAAATAAAATGAGGTTGTACAGGGGGCCCTCGCCCCACTGACTGGTGTTTCTGTAAGAAGGGTAAACCTGAACAACGAGACACCCGGGTGTGCATCACAGAGGAGACAGCACACGTGGACGCGGAGAGGGCCGTCCTCTACGAGCCGAGGAGGGAGGCCTCCACCGAGCCTAGACCTGCCTGTGCCGGAACCTCAGACGTCTGACCTCCAGAACTGCGAGAGAATACACTCGTTTTTAAATCACCCAGGCCACAGTATTTTGTTACGGCCGCCCTAGTAAAGTAATAAAACTCTATGGCAAAAATGTCCATTTCTCTCTCAGTTATAGAAAGTTTCTCTGCTGTTAGGTTCTTCTTGGCTGATTCCTTCCATAGCTCTTCTGCCACCCCAACAGCTCTGAGTCCTCTGCCGTCATCGCCTTGCCTTCCACCCAGCCTTATCAATTGCAATCTTTCGGATGCCACGCAGCAGCACGGAGGCGAGGACCCGGCAGGTGGTGCAGGGGCTCAGGGGCACTCCACCACGTCTGCAGTAGTTTGGCGACTTTCATAATTGTGATATGGAAGATACTAACTAAAAAAAGGTAAAGTGGAGGAGATCTACTAAAAGGAAACCCTAATGAGTTACTTAAATTAGAGGACAGAAAAAGAATGAAGGGGAAATTAATGATCCAGCCCAGTTCTTCCATTCCTACGGATCAAACTCAGTTTCTGTGCCCTGCTGAGGTACTGTGCTTTCTGACAAATTTCAAGACAGTGGATTTTTAATACCTAAAAATGCATACTCAACCACAGAAGAAAGGGAAAATAATGAGGTTGGACAAGAATAGCTTTACCTTTTCTGCAATTTTCAGAGAAATATCTCTAATGGTGTTCAAAGGAGGATAAAGCCGGCCCTCTTCCAAGTGTTTATCGGACACCTGCTGAGCTATAACCTTAAAAAAAGAAAGACAAATATGTTTATGCTTCACACCATACAATGTGGGAGTTACAAGAATAACTAGGGGAATGGTCACATATATGGTCACGTATAGATCACAGATCATATTAAGGTGCTTATCTAATTTCATCTCTCCCTTTATGAATGGAAAAGCTGAGTCCAGAGAGGCTTGGTGATTGGTAGGATCACACAATTAGTGAAAAAGATGGAAACAGAATTTGGGTTTCCACTTAAAGCATTTCCTTTTCTACTGCACCGTGAAATGCCATGGGCCGGAGGAACGGGATAGAAGGAAGCAGTGGAGGAGGACAGAAGTGGCAGGAGAGGAGCCGGAAGTGGCGGAGGGGAGGTACCCAAGGCACTGCGCCATCGCTCCCAGCTCACACTGCCTTGTGCGAGAGGTGGAGCAGGAGGCTGAGAAAGCTATTTTGGAGCCACACTGCCAGTAGGATTTTAATTTTACACAGAATCTGGATCATCTGAATCACCTATCTACCCTCAGTGTTTGCTGCCCCCAAATCATCCCATATTTCTGAATCAAACAGAACAGATTTAAACATGTGCTAAGAGGGCAGATCTTATATTAAGTGTTCTTACCATAATAACTTCTCATATGTCAATCATAACTGAACAAAGTAGTTCTAAAAATCCAAGACAAACTGACATTATGTGCCTCCTGATGTGATGCACTGAGGACACAATTACTAGGCACGAGGTGCTCCTAACAAAACCACATAACCTGAATTAAATCTTGAGGAAACAATCAGATAAGCCTAAATCGAGGAAATCTGTAAAAGCAACTGGCCAGTACCCTCCAATTGACAGAAAAGAAACAAAAGGCTGAAATATTCTTGAAGATTAAAGGATCAGCCTAGAGGCTAGAGTTCTTAATGCATGACTAGCAAAGCTTGAATTTGGACTGTAGATTAGATAATCGTATTATACCAATGCTAACGTTCCTGAATTGATAAGGGCCCACTGATTACAAAAGAAAATGTCCCAAAATATTTAGGAGTAAGGGACATGCTATCTGTAAGTTGCTCACAAAAGGTTTCACAGTAAAATACCATGTGTATATACATACTTACAAAATAGCACTAAGTTATTATTGACTCTACTAGGGCACAGAGGTGGACTCAGCAATGCAGCAGTTTCCTCTAGCTCTAAGACTTGAATCAGTGGGGCCCTCTAAATCAGTGGATATAGCTGGGTCTTTATTTAATAGAACTATGGATGCAGAGAGGACATAGAAAGCCTTCCCCATTCAAGGTATTTTGAATAGTCAAATTATTTTTTCAGTATCTTTAAATCTTTTAGATGTTTTTAAGTTGTGAAATTACTTCTGAAATATTGTTTTATAGCCATCAGCAAATATGAAAGCCACCGTCCCACAGAGGTGCTTAAAAGCAGTTCCTGCCTTTGAGAGATGTCTGAGTTAGTGAAGCAACAAGCTGCAGGAAGAAAAAGGGAATAATGGAAGAGGAAACAGCCTAGGGCCTAGCTAGGCTAAAGGGAAAATGTGTGTGTTAGAACATCCGGGGGAGCCGCAGAGGGAGTGTGAGCATGGAACTGAGGGAAAGCTAGGAGTCAGAGAACAGCACTGGGTGGGCGCTCTAGACCAAACGCTGAGACATGTCTGAGTGTCCTGATCTGGGGGAGCCAAGGATCTGTGCACAGAACTCAGGGTTGGAGCAGTGACAAATTAAGGAATTTGAGTTAAGTCCTATGGGTGACTGAGGACTCCTGAACAAGGATATAAACAAGGATATTCAGGCAGGGGTTGGGGGCAGAGGGAGGCACATTTCTAAGCCCCCTTTTCTCTTTGGTGATACAAGACTAATAGCATAAGATTCATAGGATTAAATGAAATAAATGCAATAAAGAACTTACCACACAGCTTGGGAAAGTAAGTGTACAATCAATCTTAGCTATTTCATTTAAAGAATAAATAGGCAGCCAGCATGGCAGAGTGGAAGTGAAATAGCTCTGGGGGTCACATCTAGTTCTACAACATTTTAGCTGATTAGCTGCTTGGTTTGGAGGCAGGTTATAAAACCGATCAACTAAGTTTTTTTTTCAACTGTTTACATGAGATGTATGTACGTTGCTCCTCTTGCCAGTGGCACATTGCTGGTATCCAACCTCATTGCCCCCCCCCCACCCAGAATGTTACACAATATCATTTTAAAGAGATTGGGGACCATTAGAAAATGGCTGAATATTGGCTTAAAATTATTTGTTGTTTTGATAAGTCACTTATGTCTCTCTGTCTAACTACATTGTGGCTGCTTTCAAATAATCTTTCTTCATTTCATTTTAACAATGTCATGGCAAATGCATTTTCAGTTATCCAGTGACTTAAAAGAATGGAAGTTTCCTCCAGAGGCTGTTGTCCGTGGTAGTCATTTCTAGTGTCCTCCAGAAGATTAGGGGCGGGGGGATGAAAGGACACAAGCAGGTGACTCGAGAGGAGTGGTGTGAGGGCAGGAGGCCAAGGTGTGCCTCCCAGGTGTGGATAGGCTGCTGTACAGACAACACAGAGCCAGGAGGGCTGACGGGGGGCCCTGGGTGCTCTCACCAGGGGCCCAGAGGGCTGTCCAGCACACCAGCAAAGACAAACGTCTGTGTGCCATAAAACTGTCCAGGAAAAGCCTGCAGTGCTACCACCAATGCCTGACTTCTAATTCCATGAGATATCTAACTAGTATTTTTCCAATAACCCTCAGTTATGTGAAGTTGCCAAACAAAAAATTCATCTACACCTCCTACATGTTACTTTTGTCAACTACAAATATAATCTAGATGAAAAGGGGTTTCTTCTTTTTAGGACCCTCTAGCAGTGAGTATATGTGGTACTGTATTAATTCTTCTTGCTAAGATAGAAAACTATCCTGTTTAATTCACTTCAACAACTATTTACTCAGTTTCTGCTATGTGCTTTTAGCATCATGCTAGGTGCTACTGGTATTCTGAAAGAAATATTTGAGAGAATTTCTTTTTACAATTTAATTATAAGGCAACACTTATGTGTTTAAAACAGTAAGTTCTTAAGGGCATAATACAACTAGGAATGAAATTTCGGTGCTGGTACGTTTGATGAAGACAGCCATGGCTAAGGAGAAAGACTAAGATGAGCCAGAGTAGCCACAAGAGGATGAGGAGGGATGGAGGCAGTGACCTGAAGGACAGGCTTAGCTAGATAGAGAATAATTTCCAGAGTTCTCCAGCAGGATAATAAACAGAGAGAAGATTATAGACGGTGCAGTTACATGGAAGCACATATGCATGGAGAATCTGAAGACTTTGGGATGAGGGAGAATGAACAGGTGCCGGTTAGAAAGCAGGTATCACTACTGCAAATGCGAACACTGAAGGCTAGGAAAGACGAGAGGTATGGTTTTACACATCCCGTGTTTAAGCAAATAGCAGGGCATTTCTGTGCAAACGCATATTAGGTTAACTAGAGATATAGCAGAGATGATAACAGAGATACACAGACTTGGCCACTTTTTGAATGAAGCTAATGGAAACAAAAGCATGGATAAGATCTCTGAAAGCAAAAGAAAGGCAGGGAGAAAAAGGACAAAAATGCTCCTCGCTGAAAAGGCCATGAAAAGGACACAGAGAAAACAGTGAGGTGGCGTGGAAGACAGGCACCGCGGGCTGCAGCCTGAGAGAGGGACGGGAGGGCCGCAAGACTTACTTAGCCAGAGAGACTGCTAGTTTTGATAAGAATAACACCATGCACACAACATATTTTATTTCTTTTTCTTCAAAGTTTTTTGGCATTACTTTTCCTGGATAGTAAATGGAATGATTTTTTTTCCATAAAATGGTCACTAGAGGGTGCTAGAGTAATGCAGGAAAGAAAATACTGGCTCTGCAAGCAAAAGGTCACTTTTTCCCCTTACAATGTATGTGCTGTGAAAATACAATGATTATATTTTCCTTAATGCAACAACTTTGAAAAGGTCTTTTAGTAATTAGACATCTACTTATGTTTAAGAAAATTTTTCAAGTTAAAGAAACTCTGAGAGATAAGCTGTCATGCCTCTCATGCAGCGACGACAAAGAGAGAAGCAGCATGGTGCAGCTTCCAGGCATCTGTTCTCACAGTGCAACTCGGAGCGCTGCAACTGCACTCCTTTAGATCGCATCCATGACACAAGAGTCTTCGTTGATATTCTTACTGCCCATCACTCAATTGTTAATTTGGTTCAGTTCAGTTACAATGCTGTGCAGTGGTTTAATTTTCAGAGAAGAAATTTGCTCAAATTTTCATTCATTAATTGCATCATCTTCAAACATGATATCAAGTAGATGAACATTCTGATTACCAAAAGCTCATAATTTTACAACTATATGTATATCCAGTCATCATATCCTCCTGAGGCTTGGGGGCAAGGGGATCCAATGGGAACCTGAAGCTCATGGTACCTCTTGTGCGGTAAATACTAAGGTCCTTTGTCTTTTGCCAGCATTTATGAAACTGTGGCAGGCTAACTTGTTAGCTTGCAAATAGGGTAAAATTTCAGAGCTTTCAGAGTTTTTAAAAAATTTTTACTTATTGATTTAGGGGAGAGAGAGAGAGAGGAAGAGAGAGAGACAGGAAGAGAGACATAGAGAGAAGTTTGTTGTTTCACTTATTTATGCTTCATTGGTTGATGCTTCAATGTGCCCTGCCCAGGGGCTGAACTGGCAACCTTGGTCTATCAGGACGATGCTCTCACCCACTGAGCAGCCCAGCCAGGGCTCACAGCTCTTAAAAGCAGCTTAGCAGAGCTCCCCTAGCGGGTCTTCTCTGTAATATTCTGAAGGCCCAAACTAGAACCCGCTTCTGTCCTTTTATAAACACCTAATTCCCTGTTTTAATTTCATTTCTGCTTAAAACACTAGAATGGTTTCTGTTTTCTACACTCTGATCCCTGTATGATAAGCACTTCTTCATTATACCGAATAAGGCTTTCATTTTAAATCTTAAAAATGCCATTATTTAGGAAGGTTCTTAACAGAGAACTATTTACTGCTTAGTCTATGAACTGGAAACAAAAATTTTTTTTTAATTTTATTTTAATCATTGTTCAAGTACAGTTTTCTCCCACTTACTCCCATTCCAGCCCGCCCACCCAACCCTCCCCTCTTCCCCCCATTACCCCCCCACCCCTAGTTTTTTGCCCACGTGTCCTCCAAATTTGTTCCTGTAAACCCTACCCATTCCCCCCTGAAATTCCCTCTTCTCTCCCCTCTGGTCACTGTCAGTCTGCCCCCTATTTCAGTGTCTTTGGTTATATTTTGCTTATTTCTTTGTTTTGTTGTTTAGGTTCCTGTTAAAGGTGATATCATGTGGTATTTGTCTTTCACTGCCTGGCTTGTTTCGCTTAGCATAATGCGGAAACAAAATTTTTAATTGTCTCACTGTTGTCACAGAATCTGATTAGAAATATGAAAATAAAAAAGGGTTCCATTTAAGAAATCAGAACACTTGTTTTTTTTTTTTTTGCTGGCTACTGAAGAACAATCTTTAACAAGGGACTCAGTATGAACCTGCTACCCGCTCCTTACTCTCCACTGGGATAAATTTTCTCTTCTTCAGCTACACCTTCTAGGGAGTGAGCTGACACTGAACTAAAGAAAACATTAGACAGGCTACACTGAGCTCATTTGGTATTTTATAGCCTTGGCAAACTTAGAGTATTTTACAATACCTCTGCAGTGGTGAGAAAAATCTTATCCGTGATGTGTCTCAGTCCACATGCCACAACACCAAGAGCAACTCCAGGAAACACGTAGGAATTGTTGCCTTGGCCGGGATACAGGGTCCGTCCATCTGGCAGCGTGACTGGATCAAAAGGACTGCCACTGGCGAACACTGCACGTCCCTACAACACAGACACACGACTGTAAAAAGCAGCAGGATATCTTCAAACAAATGAATCATTGCAGAACTACCCCATATGAGTATTTAGAAAGATGTTTAATTTTCCAGTAACTCCCTAATAAGTTTAGGCAAGTTTTTATGATGTTGGCAAGAAGTTCTTGAGTGAGTGATTATTACTGTCCTCTATTTTACTCTCTACTCCTGGGAGAAATGTGCAAAGCACAGGACACCCAAACACCTGGTACCACTCTGTTCTCTGCAGTGGTCCAACCTATAGGGCTATCAACCATTTCTGTATAGGCTTCCAATTACAGACTTCTGAAGATGAAAATGATAATAGTAGAGTATTAGAAAGAATAACATTTTGGGTTAGAGTTTAGGAATCAACACATTTCAATATACTCACTGGGACAAAATTTATATACTTCCATATTATGAAGAATTACATGGAAAATCATATAGGAAACAAACCCATTAGAACAAGTGGAATTAGCAAATAAGAAGATTAAATGATCAATAATTATCAAAACCTGTCTTTATTTTTTCCTTGTCTTAATATTTTGTCCTAATGTTTTTAAGGAACCACATGTATTACATGCTTTAAGATGTCCCTCACTCAGGGCCTGTTAGATGCCAGGCTCCATACTGCTGAGCAGAAGGGGAGCATCTGTCTGATCTCTGGGGGTGAGGGTGGAGATAGAGTCCAGAACATTCGAGTTTCTAAAATGGAAATAGGAAACCCTCAACAAATGAAGCACCACAATCTGAGAAATGCATTTGGGAAGTGCAGAGCACCAAATCTCCAAAGCACAGTTTACATGATGAGAGACCGGGTTATAGCTTTCTTCCTTCTTTCCTCTAGAGCAGCGATTTTCAACCTTTTCATCTCATGGCACACATAAGCTAATTCTAAAATTCTGTGGCACACCAAAAAATGTATTTTTTGCCAACCTGACAAGAAATAATTATAATCTTGATTGGTTTACAAAATAATAATGCCTACCCTTTTTTGCTCAAAAATGACTTTTCAAAAAATCAGGTGCCTATACTTGTATATAAGGATTTCTGGTACCAAGAATTAACCCAACAGACATAAACTTATTATGCAACATAACCAATAAAATGCAACTCTATTATATGACTTACACATTTATAGTTTAAAACAAGGCATTCACACCAAATGGCTATTGTTGTGTAGGCTGTAGTAATTTTTTTATTTGACAATCTAAGGGAAAAGAGGTTAGTGCCCCTAACTATAAAGTCAAATATTGCATGTTTTAAAATTCTTTTTTTTATTAAATTCATTGGAGTAACACTGGTTAATAAAATTATATGGGTTTCAGTTGTACAATTCTATGATATGTCACCTGCATATTGCATCAGGTGTTCATCACCCCAAATCAAGCCTCCCTCCATCTCCATTCATCCCTCCTTTACCCTCTTCTACGTCCCCCACCCGCTTTACCTCTGATACAGATGTCTGTGTCTATGAGGGATTTTTTGTTTTGTTTTTCTTTTCCTTCATACCTTTCTCTTTTTCACCCAGCCCTGAAACCCCCTCCCTTCTGACAGCTGTCAGTCTGTTTTCTAGGTACAGCACTCTTTAAAAATTCTTGCAGCACACCAGTTGAAAATTGGTGATCTAGAGCCTAACTCCATCATGATATTAATGATATTAACTTATTTGTTTTAAATCAATATCATAGAATATCTTTTATAAAAAGGTAAAGTTGTATAAAGATTCAACCTATAAAAGATAAAAATAGATGAGAAAGAAAATAAAAATTCTCAAGTAGGTTATACAAGATTAGATTTCATTTTTAGACAGGTCTGATACCTTCAGCTCTGTTTAGCAGATAAAACGTTTTATTACAAGTAACTTTCTCATGTAACTAAACTACTATCTGATACATATCTTTGATAAACATTTATATGTTATTTGATATGTACATATACTTTTGAACATTCAGAGGAAAGAGACCTGCGAACTTATGATTTATGCTTGTTTAACTTCCTCCCCACCTTCACTCCGATGCCCACTCCTCCTCCCCGTCATTCTATGATCATCATATTTTATGGAAGCGTGGCACTAAACAAATGATAGCTAGATAAATATTCTCACCTATATGAATTGTTAATATGGAGAAGGAACTGTCTCCATACCATTTTTGGTACAGTTTTTTAAGGTTCAATCATTTCTTTTGTATTTTGTATCTCTAGCCTTTCTGAATTTCGCCTGTGCCTGCAGCAGCAGAGACTCACACCCAGCCACAGGCAGACCTTGTTTTGTTCTGAAATCCCTTGGCTGAACCAGTGTTTAAATTTTCAGTCTCAAATAACTTTCATTTTTATATATAACAATACAGAACATTAAACACATTCACAAGAACGAGTGTAGTTCATTTATATTAGATGCATTCAAACTTAAAAACCCAACTACATAAATTTAACTAATTTTGCTTATGACTATTATAGAAGAGTTTATAAACTCTTGAGGTACATTGAGATTCAAAATTAAATGATTATTTACACAATGTGCCTACTATATGCAATGCTAAAATCTTTTTATTGCTTAAAATTTTGTTTTTCCTCTGTAAGTATTAAAGGACTACTGATGAGGCAAATTCCTGAATCTAGAGATGAGGTAAAAATTTAAATTAGTGAGGACACTGATGCCATCCCAAATGAGAGAGATAAACAATGGAGTAGCTCTTGCCAAAATCTCATTAAGTCTCACAATAAGCATTTTGGAAAACAGTATTAAAGAGGTGGGGCCATCACCATCAGATCTGCAACTTTGTGTCATGTTTACCTTTTCTGGGTCATTTTGGATTTATTTCCAAAATAAACGTATCACGCATCTATCTTGTTTCAATGACCTTTTCAAGCCTTTGAAGGGAAAAAGGCTCTTGTCAACATATCAGTCAAATTTATATTAATACAAATATAGTATAAATATGTCACTTCTTTGGAAACGGTAGAGCACCGAACCTCTGAGGGCGCTGCCCCCAGCCTGGCCGGGTGTCAAAATGGCCGCCCACGTGCTCCGCCCGCGGCGTGGGCATCCAAACCCAGGATTTAGCAAAGCAAAAATAAGACTGTGGTTTTTATACTGTATGCTTCAGTGTTTCAGAATAGCTAGTTAAAAGTTATTTTTAATAAGCAGCTAGAGTCAAGTTTTCTCCTTTTTAACTTTCATGTTTAAACCTTAGATAATTCTAAATCATTTGAGGAAAATTATCAACAAAATGTTACAAAGTGTAGTTTGTTTTATTGAAGAAGGGAATTCCAGAAAATAGTTCTCATCCCTCCTGACTTGTTCACTTTTCTTTCAATTTTGGTTGTATAATTTTTGAAAGTTAAGTGGTAAGCTCCATTGATATCCTGGGCTTCCCTCTAATGAATCAAAAGTTGATTAAATATCAATTATACTTTTGCTTTACCTTAGTCACTTTATAGCACTGCTCTGCAGTACACTCTGCTTTGCTGGTTGGATTACTCAAAGCAAAAATAATAGGCCGTTCATTGAAGGCAGCCATGTCTTTGAGAATTTGTTCTGAGAATGCGCCAGCAATTGCAGCGACTCCTAAAGTAGAAATGAGAAACCAGTAAACAGGACCGTCATTGGTTAATTAATCCAAGAAGCTCATGCCCCAAAACAATGAGAAATCAGGTCATCTTCTAACAGACCCTAAACAAAATATAAAATATTTTTATTAAATTGACAAAAAGATAAGTTTATTAATGTCAATGATCTTTAGGGTTATATTGGGTTGGCCAAAAAGTTTATTTGGTTTATTCTGTATAATGGCTCTACTAGCACTCAGTTTTCTTTAACTTCATTTGAAACAATTTTGTTAGATTGTATTGTGACGGCTGTTATATCAGTGTGCATTTAAAAAAATCAAAATGAATTATTGTGTGGCAATTTTAATATTGAAAATAGAAGAAAAGTGGTATTTTTGGAATATGATGCTTTACTGTGTCAATAAAGGTAAAAATGCAACTGAAACACAAAAAAAGATTTGTGCAGTGTATGGAGAAGGCACTGTGACTGATTGAACGTGACAAAAGTGACTTGTGAAGTTTCATGCTGGAGACTTCTTGCTGGAAGATACTCCACAGTCAGGTGGACCAGTTGAAGTTGATAGCGATCAAATCAAGACATTAATTGAGAACAATCAACATTATACCATGCTGGAGATAGTTGATATACTCCGAATATCCAAATCAATAAAGTTATTGGTGAAAAGGAAAAATGTGTCTTTTATTTTACGGAAAAAACCACACAAACTTTTTGGCCAAGCCAAAAAGTTCACTTGACTCATAATACATTTAGCTGGTGAGTAACCACTAGGAATTTTGATTAAGGCATTTATAACAGGAAATTAAAATGTGTCTAATATATATTATCACTCTGTAAGAAATATATGAGTTTTTTCAGTCTCTAATGCTATAAAGTAATTGTGTTTTATAAACTACTGCTAACATTTAAGATAATTATCCAATTCAATTTAAAATCGAAGATGATTGAAAGAATTTTAACAGAAGAACAAAATAATTTGCACAATATAAATGACAAAATGCAAGATGTCTGATAGAACATATTTTGTAAAACACAATAATAAAGGTGGCCTACAATTCCAGTTTTGGAGTATTTGTTTCTATTATGGTTCATCATTATTCTCAATGTTGTCCTTTGCTTCACAAGAGCTTCTAGGAATGGAAGTTGATACAAAGTAAGCACTGACATATACACACAAAATAAAGAGATAAAGTTTAATGACTTCCTTTGAGTTTTTCAACCACATTGAACTTGACCATAATAAACATTTTACTGTGCACATGCATGAAGTATATGAGCAATATAAAGACATGTAAAATATGGTCCCTGTCTTCAAGGAGGGTCTGCTGCAGTGTTTCACAACCCTGGCACTATCAGTTTTGGGTGGGACAGTTCCTTTTTGCAAGGGGCTTTCCTGTGCACTTTTAGTCTCTACTTGTTAGACGCCAGTAGCCCTGACTTCCCCTCTACTCCCAGTTATAACAACCAAGTATGTCTCTAGAGATTGTCAAATGTTTCCTTGGGGGCAAAATCACTCCCTTTTCAAAACCACTATCTATCTGGAGCAATTAGGCCTAGAAAAGTTCTGAACAGGCCAGGTACTGACAGGCTGACAAAGCTGGCAGAGGGGGCCACACACTTCAGTGGGGATCAGTGAGATTAAGAAGACAGCATGAAATAGCAAAGCTGGGTGTCTGTGGGGTGTTGTTGCTTCGCTGAATATGTAATTTTGTTTGTCAGCTCCAAAGGGGAGAATTTCAAAAGGCTAAATGATGCCTACAAATTTTAGTAAGAAAACTAATCAGGTGACAATGGGGTTGGATGTGGGTTGCAGGAAGGAGGGAAGAGTTTACCTATGAGAGCAGTTGGTTTTATTTCTCGAACAATGTCTTCTAGGTTATTCATTTCTTCATGTTCATGAGCAAATTCCTCTTTCTCTTTTGTTAAGGCAGCACGTCCCTAAGTAAAGCAAACAGGAAGACATGATAAATCTGCTAAACATAAGCGAGTCAAAGAAATTTCAAAATATTACCCTCATTACCAGTATTTATGTTTAACATTTTTATGTGTTACAGCTGTTCTTAAAGTCTCCTCTCCAATTATCAGAGTCATTTCATTCATTCTTTTGACAAATATTTATGTCTCCAGACAATGTTCTAGCAATGGGGATATAACAGTGAACAAAATAAAGTCTTTCCCTTATTTAAATATTATTTAACATTAAAAATCTTAATTCCACAGACATTTGTGAGAAACCACCATCAACAAATGGTAATACAAAATTGCATATAAATAAAGGTACTGCTTACTAAACATATTTTGTTTTAATAGAGTGTCTTAGAATATAGAATTGGCTTTAGTTGCAGCACTGCCAATTTATGTACCGTTGATTAAGAATGGAACTTGATGCCACGAAGATAAAATAGTTTGGTTTTCTGAATAAGTATTATATCTGTATATGTTTATTTGTAATGTTTTGATAATGAATGTGCCATGTGTTGTCTAGAAAACATCTAATTACAATATCCTAGTTGTGAATTTTTAAGATTTTGATTATATAATAAATCCCTGCCTAGCTTTATATAATACTTTATGACTTATAAGTTGTTTTCACATATTTTATTTGCTTCCCTTATAATTTTGAAAAATAAAAAAAGTATAATTAGAGTCATTTTGCAAGGGAAACAGAGGCTTTGAGATGTTAAGCTACCTGCCCAAGGCAGGTGATGGAATTCAGATTTTCCAATAATACAGCTCTGGAGGAAAAGCCTTACCAATAGTATTGAACAGACTGTTCTCGAATTGCTAATCCTATAGACAGTACAATTTAAAAAGATTACAATTTTATTTGTTTTTAAAAGTAATACATATGAATTATAAAAAATTTGAACATGAACTTCTTGCACTTATTTAATTTGTAAAAAAAGGATAATAAAAATTTTGACCTCATCAGGTAGTTTGTGGATTAAATTTACATAATAATTCTAAAGCACTTGAGAGTGTGCCTGATTTTTAACAAGAGTTCAATGTTAGTTGTAATTAAAATTAGTGTGAATACCAAGCAAATCATAATTCCAGCTTTAGTAATTTGGGTGCATTTTCTTGTATTCAAAGGAAAAGTGCCATTTCTCTACCACCATTTTCTATTGTGAGCGTGACGTTTATGCAAACAACCTCCTAAGAAAAGAATTCACCATTAGTCATTTCTAGGATCCAAAACGTTATCTCACCATTTCCTTCTTGTACAACAAAATATACTACATCTGAGACATTATGAAAAATAATCTTATTTAACACTAATTCAAAAAGATTCATAAGACATGGAAGCAACCTAAGAATCCACTGATGGACTAATGGACAAAAAAGATATGGTGTACTCAGCCATAAAAAAGAGGAATACTCGCCATTTGCGACATGTATAAACTTTGAGGATATTATGCTAAATGAAATAAATTGTAAAGAAAAACATAAATACTGTATGATTTCACTTATATGTGGGATCTAAAAAAATACCCCTTAATTCATAGATACAGATGACAGATTGGCATTTGCCAAAGGTGGGCAGTGGAGAATGGGTAAAATGGGCAAAGGGGATCAAAAATACAAGCTTCCAATTATAAAATAAATAAGTCCCGGGGATATAATGTGTAGAATGGTGACTACAGTTAATAATATTGTATTGCACATTTGAAAGTTGCTAAAAAAATAGATATTAACAAAAGTTCTCATCATAAAAAATTTTGTAACTACACCATTACCACAGTTATTGTGGTGATCATTTTACAATATATACAAATATTGAACCATTTTGTTGTATACCTGAAACTAATATGTCACATGTCGATTATATCTGTTTTTAAAAGTCTTATTTAATTCATTCAGGATTAAATCTAAAACTTACTGTTTCATATTTACTTCAGCAGAGAACATTCTAGTTTCTAGTAATACTAAGTCGAATATTGTTAGTCCATACTCTTTTTTTTAAAGATTTTATCCATTTTTAGAGAGAAGGGAAAGGAGGGAGAAAAAGAGGGAGAGAAACTTTAATGTGACAGAGAAACATCAATTGGCTGCCTCTCACAATATGCGCCAACTGGGGACTGAACCTACAACTCGGGCACTAGCCCCGATCACAAATCGAACCAGCAACCTTCAGCTTTGCCAGATGACACCCAATCAACTGAGCCACACTGATCAGGGCTGTTTGTCCATATTCTTATTCATCATTCCTATTACAAGAAATTTAGTCAAAAGAATAATCTATATTTAGTTTCCACTTTCATCAGGAAGCATAACTTGTTCCATAAAACCTATCTTTTATCATAGCCTTTTTAGAATTAGTGACGCATCTAATAATAAATAGTTATGTAAAACTGGACTGATTTTGTGAGTAAACACTAAATATTAGCAAATAGTTCTTTTGTATTTATAAGATTTTTAAAAAATTTCCTTGAAATAATATTTTAAAAATAAGACAGTAATGAATCATGCAATTCTAACTTGCAATATGGGCGGTGCCCATCCTTTCCTCTCTTAGCTTCACAGCTGAGAAATTTATTTCATTTACATATCTCAATCACAGAGATTAAGTCAGCATCAGCCTAGCGTGTGTCTAGGCTTAATGATAATGTATTAGTCACAAATGAGAAAACAGAAGTGTTAGGGTTACCACAGAATTTCGCCCAAACCTTTTGAAAATTCAGACTTTGATTTAGGCTCCAATTCCTCATCCCTTTCCTGTGTCAATGTTCTTTGCCACGTAACTTCACAGTTCCTTTCACAAAAGGCACAGCATACTCCCTACCACTCTGTCTTTGGATGTAAACATGCGGCTTGCTTCGGTCAATAAAATGTGAGCTGAATTTAAACTAAGCCACTTCCAACCTTAGGCCTTAAGAGGACTGGTGGTTCTGCTTGCTCTCTTGTGCCTTCGCCATTCCTTTAGAACTGTGTGACCTGACTTGCTTGCTGGTCCACGGAGGACAGCAGCCTTGTCAAGCAGACCCAGACCTAACCTGAGCTTAGAGCCCAGCAGCCAACATCCTCAGAGCTACCCCACCTGACCCCACAGAAGTGTGGGAAATAAATAATTATTGTTGTATGTCACTGAGATTTTGTGGTTTTGATAACATGACAATATCTAACAGATACAGGGGATAATTTTAATTTTGATTATATATCCGCCATTTACTTAATGTTGTTCCTATCTGTTGTTTTGAAAGTTAAGAGGTCCCTTTCCCTAAAATAATTTGAAGAAAAGGATGTTTTTACAATCCATCTGCTACTTCAATGCCCTTATTACTGCTTAGCTGCTTGGTAAGAAATAATCCTACATTTTAAGAAAGAAGAGAGAAAGTCTAATCATGGGTAGGTAGAAATGTAAATTTGGAACCATTAGACAGTTACAGTATTTAATTAAATTATTTCTGAATTATTTCTGGAAGTAGTATAAGTGAAAATGTATGACTATTTTCATTCTCACAACAATGACATTTCCAAGACAGGTACTAAATAAAGTTGTGGCTTAGACATAAAATATTTCTTGGAAATAACTTTCAGCTTCCAGCATTTTAAACTAAACATAATAGTTTTCCCCAGAAATAGAGTCAATTGCATGTGTAAATGCAGAAAACTAGACTAACATCTATCTGAGACTCTACATGGCAAATGCTATAGAACTATAAATTGCTTCTAGCATGACTTCCTATACACCTGGGTGTAAAGGGCTACACTATAGTCCCCAGACTCTCTTACAGCTAGGGTTTCTGCTTTAAACACAGCAGTCACCAAGCTCATGTAAACCTTCACAGGACCCTGAGGGAGAAATGTGCATCATGAAGTAGTGGTTCTTCTGAAGCTTGTGGTAGTTATGTTCATTTCTTTGTCTTAAGATGGATGTGGAAGTGTTTAGCAGTCCATCACAAACAGGTAGGTGCTCAGTAATGGTCATGGAAGTTACATATTGGGCAGCTTCCCTGTTTATGGTTGAGATGCTGAATCTCAAGAGAAGCAACACCAGCTCCCTTGCTAATGCAGATCTGCACTGTAAGAACTATTCCTCAAAGTTAAGCCCTGTGCTTACTTCTTCAAAGGTTCAGAGATGTTTTTACAGACAAGAGAACTTGTGCAAGGTGTGCTCTAATGGAGAAAAGGGAACTCAAGATAACTATTCATCTATCTAAACTGCCTTTAGTCCAATGCAATGTTATATGATCTTGAGGGCTGCCGAGAAAATGCATATGTCAGAGAAGACTGAATGAATCACAAGGTTTGCCTATTGGTCTTTGTGGATTATGGTCTGAATATGTCATGTTACTTTTATGTCCAAATAGTGAAATCTTTTTTCATGTTATGGCAGAGGATTCTAATTGTCCATCAGTATTCACTCTCTACTTTTTCAAAAAATGTTTATTGTGATAAAAACACTTAACATGAAATTTATTCTCTTAAATTTTTAAGTGTACAACTCTTTTCCCCTTTATTTTCCCTCATTCTTTCCTTTTTAATAAGATTTCCCAGTTTTAGCCAACCACATGGCTACCCAAGTAGAAACTTTCTTAGCCTCCTTGCAGCCTACAGTGCAACTTCTCTGATGATGTACCTTTAAAAAGGAAGGAGGCACAATCCCCAAATTCATGCCCCACACTCTCTCCCCAGCTAGCCCGGGGACAGTGAGAACTAGAAAGCTTCTTTGTATCCAGAGATGGGTCATGGTCTCTGGTCTGCCTACTTCCACTGTTAGATGACAAATAAATTTACCTTGTTTAAGTCACCATGGTTTTGGGCCTTCTTGTATAACAGTCTAACTAAAATTTAACTAATATGTACATTTAGGCTAGTAGCCTCTTCACCTTAAATATCACAAAATACCACAAACACAATCAGGAGGAGACTTCGCCAAAACAATCCCTTACCTTCCAGGAAGGTCAGCAACCAAACCATTAACACCAAGTGAAAGT